GAGGGGGGGGTTATCAATCCTAGGTTCCCATTATTATACTATAATCATAATAAGGAACCTCCAAAATAGTATTGGCAATGTATTTAGGCCCCAATATTAAGCATGCTCGGAGTTGCACCTCCTCCCGCTGCTTGGAAGCAGTGGCGCACGGTGGCAGTAGAACCTACAGACCCGCCATGTTCGAGACCTTAAACCCGAACCACGTTCATTGAGGTTGCCGCAGTTGTCACACGTTCCCGAATTGTCGGAGAAAAAGATAGGCCCCGTGCAGTGTGGTAGCACAAAGGTGACTTCAAACTCATGTTCCCGGCGGCTTTCCGTCTAAGCCAAGCGCCAGGTCCCCAACACCCGAGGCTTGAAATCCTAAAACAGCTAAAAAGAAGGCCTGCAGATTCACTGTAAGGGGAGAATCGGAGATAGTGCTCGTAGTCACCATTCAGATCCCGAAACTACAGGCTTGGATAATTGAAACAGGATGTTGGGGGTACCTTGCACTATATGTATGTATAACAAGGACCACTAAGGACAAAAATGAATAGTTATTTGGGCTTAGGCCACTATGTTAACTTCACAAGAACCCCACAGCCCTTGCCCGGTAGCAGGAACGTATGTCTGTATGCCCCAATGTCGCTAAGTCTGCATGTATCTAAGTAAATATGTGTGTCTACACATACCTGTGCAAACCGGACCAGGCACCCGATGTAGCTCGGGTCAACGTCCGACGTAGAGACGAGGGAGGCTGCATCCCGTGATCATATGAAGATTCGGGCCGGCGCTTGGCATTTTAGGCTCTAGAGGGCTGGAGGTTTAGGCCTTTCAAGATTCCTGGTTTCATCTACTACTACTACTACTACTACTACTACTACTACTACTACTACTACTACTACTACTACTACTACTACTTTGAACCCAGTAGTAGTACTACTACTACTACTACTAACCTGAGCTTAAGACATGAACGCAGGTTACTGCAGCCGAAGCTGCCAGCTGCAAAGCACAAGGCGACAGAAGTACAGACTCGTCAGCAACGGGATCACCTGCTTCAATTTTCGGGTTTAGGGATGTAGGGGGTAGAGCCCCTAAGCCCTCTAAGCCCCAAGCCAGATTCCGAAAATGCACACGGCCTGATACCAGGCGACTCTATAGCTAATTGAGCCCTGTGCACTTTCAATGGTTGCTTAACTATGTGGTAATGTATTTAATATATATATATATATATATATATGTATATATATATATATATACAGACAGTATATCACAGTGTATATATATATATATAATAGTATACCATAGGATATCATCGTATATCATTCTAGCGTATGATCAGAACAGACAACAGACAGCGACAGCTTCGGGAAGAGACAAATGGAGAAAGAACCAGCAGGACTTCCGTTGCACACGAATTTCGGGTCACCGCGGCAAGACTGCAGTTCGTTCCTAGACATATAGAATCATTGCCCTGAGTGATGAAGCATAAGCTTCAAAACCGAAACGTCTCCAAGTGCCATGGCGAAAAGCTCTGTGCAGCACATGCCTGAAACTCCAAATTCAAGCGGTCTGAGTCTGAACCCTGAGACCCTAAACGGTCGGTGCCTTCACAGAAAAGCCGCTGACGAAACCTCGGGCAGCCCGTCGCCGCCTTACAAACCAGCCGATAGCTTTTTGCGGTTCAGGGTTTAAAATGGTTTATGCTCCATCTTGCACAAGGGCATGGCGATTTTGCGAGCAGCCGTTCTGCTCCGATTCCACACGTGAAGATTGCCCAGGAAAGAGCTTGCAAACTGCATCTTAAGCGCAAGCAAAAACCGCATGGTCTGAATGTATAGCAATCGGCACGCACATCTATGCCATCAAGCAACTCTGACTGCAGCAGAAAAATGCATATAATCATGTTCACATGTTGACATACACACGTACGTGCACGTACATAGTAACTCAAAAACACGTGCGTGGGCGGCCGTACATTCCACCAAAGCTGCTACTAGTAACTAATGCGTCACCTCTTGCTGGCTGAACTCCTTGTACGCCTCATCGTTTGACCCTACCTAGACCCTCAAAAGTAGGTGAAATAATGCCCAAAACCTATAAAAGGCTATTATTCTACATGCTTTTGGGGTCCTGGTAAAAGCTTTTGCGCCGATCCACGCCAATTGAAGTCTCTCAGATGTTTGAGTTCGGCAATGTCTCCAAAAGGCGACGTCCTCTGTGTCCAAGTCCAACCCTGCTGGTTATCGTTTGCGCGCACTGCTCCGGATCGACAGCAACGCCATCTGCTCCAGCACCACTACAAATCGCATCATGGCTTTGACAAAGGATCGCAATGTAACGAGCCCGAGAAGGCTGGGGATCGATGGCTACGCAGAAGCTAGCATCTCATGGAATGTCTGCACCACACTGTACTATAAAACAAGGCAACTATTATAAGGTGCTGCATGGGTACCACTTGGTTCAAAAACCCCCATGATAACACACCTCCTTGACTCGCCCCAATGGCCTTAGTAAAGGGATGATCTTGATATATTGACATTTCCATGTATTGACCATATATATATATATATATATATATATACATATATATATATATGTATATATATATATATATATATATATATATATATTATATACACCTACATCTGTGTATATATGTTTATATAGCCATGTGCAATAGACAGATAGATAGATACACAGACAGACAGCTAGGTATACAGACACTTGCAGCTGTATGCGTGCATACATATATGTATAAGTTTAAATGGATGCACAAGCCAGCTCACATTTGTGAATGCAACCACGAACTCCGTGTTTCAGTCGCCACGCCTTGATCTGTAGCTGTGAATTACCTGTCTGTGCATGTAGCCCACTCATCATCCAAAATGCACTGCTTATTATGCCCAAGGAGGACCGCAAGGTGTTCTGGTCGATAAGACATTTGGCATATGTGGGTCTTGATATTCCATAAGTGGTCCCACCAGCACAACTGCAATGTAATTGCAGACCGCTCCCTAATTCCCTGCGCTCTCCATCCCTTCCTCAACTTCAATGCCGGTATACAGTTATTTTCACTCGCCCACCCAACTTCCCCCCTAAACCCTCAACCCTAAACCGTCCGCTAACACGGAATCCAAAACCAGAGCCTGAAACACTCTGAAGCCTGTGCTGCAGAGTTAGAACAGCCTCATCAGGGTTGCAGACTTAACCCTAGGGCTCCAGTTACCCAAATAGTTACGAACCATAGTATATACACGGTTTAGGGTTTAGGGTTTTATATACTTATGTAGCACAGTAGCCGATTATTTAAGTAACTGGAGCCCTGAGATCAAGAGAAAAGCATTGACTGTCCCAGAAGCTGTGAGGCGCGACGAGAGGGCACGAAGGCCACCTCCGGGGCTCGTCCACAAGGCCTGCATGTGACTGCACAGCCACGCTCTACGAGCAGAGTCAGCGTTTGGGTGATCCCCCCCAAGTAGGTTTTGGCAGTATTTGTGCCAACCTTCTTGTAGCAGGTTTCGGTTTTCTATAGGGCCTGAGGGCAAGTCACCGTTGGTACAGCAGTCACGCAATTCCCGTATGTCTGCATGTTTAAGAGTATGTTTGAGTGCCCTGTTCACTGCAACGTAGCGGAGCACACAGCAAGCGACAGAACGCCGCAAACACGCGTGCTCTGCTAGAAGAGCTCGGCTATGCAGTGCTTCCGGGACGTTTATGCCATGCAAAATCGATCGAACAAGGACTCACACACACACACACACATACATCTCTCGGCACCGAAGCATCAACGCACGAATACATACTCGTGTCCTAGCAGCGAACACTCTGAAGCGCCAATGGTGTGTTTGTTTACCCATTGGCCCTCCTTGAAAAAGCCACCATACCGGTCGTTTCAAGTTTCACCTCCCGAAAATGGCTGTCTTGACGCTTAGGCGTAGGCTTCACAGAGACCCCCAGCCCCTAACCCGGATCGACGATCTTGCTTACCTCAGTGTGGGGACGACAATCTACAGAAGCCGGCCGGAACCTTTGGAACCAGAAGCGCTTCTTGTAGCACCCTTCTAGAACCCAGATTATCGTACCCTTCTACAACCCTTAAAGGCACCCCTTACAAGCCCTGAACCCTAAAACCCCTTGAAGGTACACCCTTTGTTCGGCCTTCAACTCAGCATCCCTGAATCCTAAACCCGACACCCCACCTCTTATGTAAGGGGCATTTGGGGGGGGGGGGGGGGCATAGCAGATCCTGAACCCTCGGCCTTTAACTCTGCATCGTCCATTTCGAGCAGCACGGAACCCGAGGCCATGTTGGCCACCGAAAGCGCCGGCGCCATTGCCAAAGCCATGTTTGGCGGTTTTTAGATTTTGGGGTTGTGGGTTTACGGGTTTAGGGGGTTCGGGCTTTAGGGCTCTTCTTTTTTTTTTTTAATGCAATGCCCTTTTCCTTGCTTTGGGGCTTGAGGCTGCAGGGTCTAGAATCTAGAAGTTTTGTGGTTTGGGTTCAGGGCTTATGGCAATCTTCCGGATGTCTCGAGTTGGTGCTAGCGACCGAGAAAGAGTCGCAAAAGTGGTTGAGCCTCTTGCAGTCGGACTGCCGGGTGTAACGGCTGAGCGACCTCTGCTTGAGGGAACGCTTCTTGGCAAGTGGGTATCACATTTTATCCTGCGAGTACGGCCTAGATTCTTGTCACCTGGAGGGACGTGAACGCTGGACCCAAAAGAGCGGCCAGGAGCAAGATCAGGATGCGAACCCAACCCAGAGATCAGGATGCGCTCGCGCAAAAGGAAGTGAAAGGCTGCTAGCTAAAGAAACCCGAGATCTTCGGAGGCACGGCCCCGCGCCCTGCGGGTTCGTTAAAGGGATCTACAAAGGTTTCTATAGCTTTCCTGTAAGGGTCGTTCCACACATTGCTGATCCGAACACTATACTAAAACCTTGAACCCTCCGCCCTTGAAGACTCAAACCAAAGGCCCTAAATGCCCTAATCTCCCAGAACTATCGCAAGCTCCACCTGGCACTGGGCTCCATGTACGTCTTCGGGGGTCACATCCTCCGCCTGCAAGCAGAAGACCTGCAAGTCGCTAAAATTGTGTTTGTGCATGCCCTAAGGCTCCAAAGGCAGTTCCTTTTTGGGGTTCATATATAGAACCCTATAAGGTAATCCCAAAAAGGAACTACTATGGAGCCTCTGGGTAGAAGTAGGTATGCTTGTAGATGCATACACATACACACCTACAGATTCTATGCATTCTATATGAATATAGGCACGGCTGTGCCGTACAGGTAGCCTAGCTTAGACTTTGGGCTGATTACCCTAACCCAAGAAAGGTTAACCTTTTCAATTGTGGTGGGACTAAATTAGGGGTACCTTATTTTGGAGGTCCTATATGTAATAAGGATCCTGCTACTTAGGGTACTATATTAGGGTCCCCTATTTTCGGAAACTCCCGCAAAAGATTTCAGGATGTCAAAAGTTTCCTACTCGGCCACTAAGCCGAACAACGACAGCCCCTGCTTGGGCGCAAGACGACAAAAAGCCTCGACACCGAATTCCTGCCTCACGCAGCTAAAATCCCAAACCCCATCCTGAACTACCAGGACCTGCCTTGCTTGTAGAGTCCCTCTACAGCCGATGTTCTGGTCCATAAGAAAACCCTACGAAGAATAATTGTGTGTCTTTATGATGGCCTTTTATACGAACCTGAGAAAATGAACTGAGTTTCATGGTGTTTAAGCCTAAACCCCTGAACCCTTCTACACCTGGACTATGCATATGCCAAGAACCAAGGCTGAACCCTTTTCCCTAAACCCCTGAACCCTAAACCCTAAGCTGAAGAGAGAGGAGCCACCTGATCCCCCAGAAGCGATTTCCAGGGCAGCACGGAGAAGTTGGGCGGAACCCGGACCTGCCCAACTTGGAGGTTCATGAGGTTATATGTGGAGCAATAAGTACGGCAACTATACTTATATTCCCTATCAGGGGACTTATACAAGCCCACTTATAACTACCCATGAACCTCCAAGAAGACGAAGCAACTTGGCAATGCATCTAAGGAGCGTCTCTCATGGGATTTGTGAGGATTTAGGACGTTGACGCTGACTGTCGAACAAGCCAGGCAAGGTTTAGGGTTTAGGACTTTATGGGGCTTTCGGATTTCGGAATCTCGTATGGGCTCCAAATGTATTGCCTCAACAGGGATTGAACGTGTCGAGACTTGGAATGTGAGCGTGTCGGGCATGTCTTGGGATGGAGCCCGGATGACAGTCAGCGCTCGGTACACGGCGGTGTAGAGTGTCGGTTCAGGGTTTAAGATTTTCATTCATAGTCCAAGACAGTCGCAGCAATTCGAAGCTGTGGGGTTTGTTTTCTGGTGCTTTCGAACGTAACTATGGTGCCATCAGAGTTCAGAACTCGTGATGGGTACTTTTGTACTCTTGACTCTTGAAAGCTATCAGCCAAGCCCTGACTCACTTGCTAAAGTTCTTAAGTCTTCAAAGTAGGCTAATTAGGCTCTGTAATGTAGGCTTATCAGATAGAATTTCGCGATACCCAAGCACCTCCGATGTCGGGGCGGGCACTTCGGTTTGGGAGCGGGCAGCCCAATCCCCCCAAGCCAAGCACCTTCAGTTCGCTGGTCCCACCAGAGGGGGTCGCCATGACAAACTCACAGCTCTCCTTCCCAGGTCAATCTTATAGTATCCCTTATAGTAGCCCTTATATAGAGCCCTTCAAAAGGAACCCTAAAATTAATGATGGTTCAGCGCTTTTAGGGCTTTGGAAATAGACTCCATCACTACTTCCTGGGCAGAGTCCGGGCTTGATCACGAGTCCCTCGGACAATCACTCACTTGTCCCTCGGACAAGGCGCGAGCAGCTTAACAGGGAGGGTCACGGTTGTTGACGTTCACGGATTGTGCGGGCCATAGGTGCGATCGCTCTAGTGAGAAGCACTTGATACTTGCGTGCAGCACCCTTACACAGAGCTTTGGATGCAACCGAGGGCTCTGCTCAAGACATTGCTTACGACCCCAAGCCGGCAGTTGAGAAGATATCAGGTGCTTGCTGCGGGCAACTTTCTGCTCTTCTCTCGGAACCAGCGTGTGCCGCAGGACAGATGCACGGTAACAGCTGCAGAACCAAAATTTGCTTCTGGAAACCCAGCGGCCCGAAATCCACACCTAAGGTATCTCTAAACGCAAAATCCCAGAACTCGAAACCCGACATCATACAAGTCTGAGTTTCAGGGCCCAGCCTCCAAACATTCCGAGTGCAGCAGAGTGAGGCCGTTGGCAGAGGGAAGGGGCTTGCCTCGTGTTTACTGGCTCGGTTGCATGGTTCGGGACTGCGGATATGGTGGAAGGCTTCAGGAACTGGGGTGACAGGCTTTGGCCGTGAAGGGCTCGCATTGCTTTAGGGGTTGGGATTCAAAGTTGAGGGAATCAGGGTGCTCTGCGGCACTAGCCCAAGCCTCTTACACGAGTTTCGTGAAAGAGCTACAGTATCGCCGGGGTCCCACATGATCCATCCGCTAAGGAGGCGCTTCAACATTCATGACAAAAGGTTATACACCCTGATGCATGCGAACCAACAGTAACAATAAGACACATACATGCACTTATGCTTAGATGTGCTGGGACAGTGATGCTAATCAAAGTTTGGGCAGGGGCACAGGTAACATCCAAAATTTTAACTCGCACTGCGGCCGATGAGTGACGGGAGAGAGCGTTCTCCGAACAGCTTATCGAAGCCGTTATTACCCCTATAAAGTCCATAACTCTCCTGTAAATCCCTCAACAAACGGCTATAATATGCTATATTCTAGGAACCCCGAACCAATCCCCAATCATCAAACCGCTCTTATCTACAAAACCCTAAGCCCTAAGGAAGCCCTCCGATGGGTCACAGCCTTGGTAGTGGATCGCCAGCTTCATCGGGGCAGGCACCCCAGAACGATCCACCAGCCTCAGCGATGTTCACTTCTCCCTGGCCTGGAGAGAAGATCTATCATCCTAACACCTAGACCCTGGGCCTCCCTTGCCATGTGAATCATGGGAACAGGTGGTCATATATGAAAATGTTAATATTTGTGTGTGTGTGTCTGTGCGAGAAAATGTCTGTATGTCTGTCTGTATGTACGGATGGATGCATGGATGGATGGATGGATGGATAGATGGGTACACGTGTGTTTGTGCAGTGCATGTGCTTGCTTTTGTTTGTGGCTGCATGTGTTTGTATGAAGGGACACTACGTTGCCACTGCCACGGGCCAATGCTGCAAGCTCCCAATCATGATTGGTTTAAGCTTGGCCACCATCGTCTTCTTTCGACTATGTGCGTCCTGCCAAGCAGCCAGTTCGGACATGTCACTCGGATTTCGTAGTGACCTTGGCGGCGACGGTGCTGAACACATGTCTTGGACAACGAGTGCATACAGGCATCCAAGCACGAACGCGCGCATAAGGACATGTGCATTCGTGACTTGGGTGCGCTGAAATACACACCCGCACACGCGTACACGAAATGATGTCTACACATGCACAGTGTGTGCATTATGCGTTTACGAAATGTAGTATAGACAGAGCCAGTATAGGGCTTGGGCCACAAATCTGCTCCCTAAACTCCGAGACAAAACAAGCCTCGGCCTGGGAAGCTGAAAACCCAAAAGTATCCAAAACCCGCAAACCGTTGCAGAACCTTTCTCAACCTCCTATCACACCCATATACAACTAGGGGCTCATTGGCTCGAAGAACACACCGGCACCGGCTCCACCACTCTCCTACAGCAGACCAGAGTGGCTAATCGAGCTTCCAAAGTTGTCGAGGGCTTCTTTTAGGGTTCTCGAGGGGGCTCAGGGAAAAGGATCCTCGCTTCGGATTTACTTTAAGGTTGAAGGAAAGGGCTGGGTATGGCGAGTAATGACTAGGTTGTCGGGCGGGGGAGAACTCTCGCGGTACGCTCTTAGGGCTTATAGAGTTTCACTTGCTCGTCACAATTTCAACGCGTCCTGGCGCAGCTGTAAGAACTGCCCCCCGTCGGCAGCCTCAAGGAGCCACCGGGTTGCGGTTTAGGGTTTAGGGTTAAGGGTTTAGGATTGCGAAGTTGCTGCACGGTTTGCTGCTATTGGGATAGCCTACGGGCTACTGTTTAGGATTACGTAGTGGCAGGCTTATTGAAATTACGGGCTACAATACGGGTTACCTTGTAAAGGGAACTATCACCGTTACTGTGCTGAGGAGAGTGGTTCAACCGCTTGCAGTTACTTGTGCTGATGAGCCTGTTGGTAAGGATGATGACGCAGGAGGTGGTGACGATGATAACGATGGTGACCACGAAGAAGAAGATGATGATGATGTTGCTGATAGCGAGAATGACGAGCCGGCTGGCGCTGATCGTTTTGCTTGCTGGCTCAGGGCCGGAGAATTCACGGGCGTAGGGTTGAGCGAAGAGTTTACGATGTGGGGTTCAGGTGTTCAGGAATTGACGTGTTGGGGCTCAGCCCACCTCCTTGTTGAAGGCATCCCAGGAGAATTTTGCCGGGGCAGACCACGGTGCTGAAGCATCCAGCCTGGTGCAAGAGCCACTAAACCTTTGCTCTCGTAACAGCGGCAGTGGTACCAACAACATGAGGAGGAAGAAGTAGTAGTAGTAGTAGTAGTAGTAGTAGTAGTAGTAGTAGTAGTAGTAGTAGTAGTAGTAGTAGTGTAGGCGGAGGAGGAGGACGAGGAGGAGAAGCATTAGGAGTAGCATGCGCTACTTCCTCTCAGACCACGTCGACAGCATTGCGCATGGTACATGATCTATTTCAAGCGTTCCGGGATTCAGTACTCTGAACAACACAACCTGAGGCCACGTGAACTTCCTAAGCATTCCGAGCACCGCGGCTTTCAGATCTACAGTTCAAGAGTACGGCTCTGAGGTTTAACATCTACCTTAACCCCAAATAACCTACCTTTTTTAGGGACTTATATAAAGAAGTCATATTAGGGAACCCTAAAAAAGGTAGGTTCCTTCGGGTCCATCTAGGGTTAGGGGCTTCAGGGTTTCGTGGTGCGAGGGCCTCACCCCTTAGTACCCAGAGAGCCCAATACCCCTTGTTTGAGGAATATGGCTTAAACTATATAAGGCTTCATATTGTGATTTAAGGTATATTCCTTAATTAAGGGGTATGGGGCTCTCTGGGTATGGTTTCTTTTTGATACTCACTCTCGGACAAGCCTGGCGAGCTCTGAGGAAGTAGGTTCGGATTTCTTCGATATCAGCCTACTGTGTGGGTTCACCCCAGTAGACAGACGGTTAGTGATGACCATTGACAGGACAGGAACAACAGGGCCAGTGCACGAGACGGCCTTACCGAGTCCAGAAATTGGGACTGGTCCTCCTGGGAATGAGGCCTTCATCATCCCAAATGCTTAGAGCCAAAGCTCCAAAGAAAAGACGACGTAAGACCCCAGCAGGACTCTGAACTGAAGTCATGGCCTAAAACAGGCACAAAAGCCTTAGAACGCAAACCCTCAAGGCCCTTGTCACCTGAACACCGAAAAGCTCAGGCGCGACCTTGCGATTATGGCCAGGCCCTCCCGCCGCACACCTGGTGGCATCAAAACTCCCATCCCAACGCAACTTCTCCTGTTCAGCCCTAAACTCCAAACCCTAAACCCCCAAGCCTTTAACTGAACGCTCCCTGCTTCCCCGACACTCCTTCTGTCCAAGCCTGGATTTTTGGGTCACTGGAGCCATTGGTCCCAGCTAGCGACAGCCACCACCACCACCACCACAACAGCAGCGGCGACAACCACAATAACAGCAACAATGCTGACAGCAAGGACAACGACTTCAACATGTCAGACTTGAGACTCGGAATGTGCGAGTTTGCACCATTGGCCTTCTTGCACGACTTGGTTATCACGTTTCCGAAAAGATATCCGAAATAGATTTTGTTCTAAGCGTCAAACATCCTAAAACCTCAATTGCTAGAGCCCTCAACTAGCCTTAACTAAACCCGACAATCCACAAACAAGAACAGAACCCCTAGAACTCAACTCCTCGCACCCCACTCACCCCACACCCTAAAAAACCAAGAGCCCTAAACCCCCAAACTCTAATCCCTAATCACTAAACCCTAATCACTTAACCCCAAACCCTAAACCCTAATCCACTAAACCCCACACCCTAAACCCCAAACCCTAAACCCGCCCACTACCCCTCTTTGCCAGCCCTGTCCTGGGAAGCTGTAGATGTGTCGCCGGGAGAAGCTCTGCACTGTAGCCTCGGTGGCCTGCTTTCGTGCTTTTTGTTATAGCTTGAGGGTTCTTTAATGGGGTTCCTTGCTTCAGGTTTGAGGGCTTCTTTCCGGCTTGAGGGTTCTTTTACAGAGTTCTTTGAGGGTATAGGGTTTGGGCTTCAGGGTTCTCTTTAGCGCTTTAGAAGTTCCTCGAAGTTTCCTTTCCGGGTTCTTGGCCATCAAGTCATCAAGTCTCTGCGAGTATCAAGCGCCAGGGGCGGTGGAGGGGTTTATGGCTTAGTTTAGGGTTCAGCTTATCTCTATAAAGTCTTGTCGAGGCGTCAGTACACAATTCTACAGTTTCAGAGCCAAGGACATTTCACGAATCCTCACCGGGCCCTCTCACACATGGGTTCTGTCGTCGTTCTGTGCAGAACTACAGGCGAATATACCCAAAACCCCAACAACACGGAAGTCCTCCACTCCCCCTACACACACACACACACCTCACACTGTGTACCCTAAACCCTCAACCCCTAAACTTCTGAAGCCTTAAACCCTGTACCCTATGGCTCTATGCCCGACACCTCAATAGGCCCTAAACCCCTTCGCCTCCAGGTACTTGTTCTCCTCTGGCTTCGTGGTGTAGCGCAGACCCAGGCATCCTGCGCTGCGGGCTCCGGGGCGTCATGTAGGGACCTGAAATAACTAGAGTAGGGCTCTTTCAAGGGATACTAGGGTACTATAAGGGAAAAAGGGAGGGTTCCTTAAAAGGGGTCTCTAAGGGCTACTTGCAGGGATCTGCAAGGTTTTATACTGTAGGGGCCTTAATGGTTAGAATAGGGTTCGGGGCTCCTTTATAGTAGTATATTCAAAATAAGGAACCCTAAGGAATGATATAGGTAACCATTTAAGCTTCTATACTAGCTTCGTTGAAAGTAATATGGCTAAGAACCTGTTAGGTTTACATGATCTGAGGAGAACCCAGGTCCTAGTGGCAGGGCGTTGAGGATGGCCAGTGTCGGCTGGATGGCGATGGTGGTAACGGCTGTTGGGGAAGGCAGTGGGTGCCTCAGAAGAGGTTGGGAAGTCGCAGGTTTATATTCTTATGGGCCGTCAAAAAGAACAAAACGGTTAACCTTTTCAAATATAGTAGGGATATACAAACCCAAAAAGGTTAAAGGATACCTACTCAGCTACTTAGTCAGTATTATGGACATACAGCCCACTACTTGTGAATGATGATCTGAGTATTCGCATGTCGATCGGTCCTAGTGACAAGTGTGTCCGCTTCTGGCTCTTGCATTCCGTGTATGGTGACCAGTCTGGTCATTGTGATCTTTACTGTGTGGCTCAAGCTTACGGAACCAGAATGTTTCACTACGGCGCATTCAACTTTTCGGTCGTCCATCTTTCATCGCATTGAAGCACTGGAGGATCCAGCCAATATATTGGGGCCTTAATAATTAGAATAGGGTTTTGGGCCCCATTTGCAATATTTTTCCTTCGGAGGCCTAAGGAAGAGTGTTGGTAATTATTTTGGCCCTGACCCTGCATGGCCATTGAAGCATTCCACAGACATTCCAGCATTATTATTTGGAGCAGAATAGCCGTCGCATTATTGTCCGTGTCGTTGCTGATTTTCTTTGGTCAGTCAGAAATATATTATTGAAAATTGGGTAATGTGCTCTGGGTTCGACCGTGATAACTACAACCACTGCTCATAGTACATGAAGGCAGCACAACAGCTGCTGCTGCTACTCCTGCCCCTCCCTCCTCCTACCTGCCCTTCCATCCTCCCACTCCTGCGCTCCCTTCTCCTACTCCTCCGGCCACTACAGAAATCAGCAATGGCAGTGCTATATCATAACCGTGGTCAGAGCAACAACAATCACGGCGACCGGTAAGCTTCTCAGCTCAGCTGCACGTGTGATGTGGATTGGCAGAGGAAGTGGACGCCCGAAGTGCGGCAGACGCGCTTGGAGGAGGGACTCCCTGAGGGAGCTTCTGGCCCACGGCAGAAGAGTGAACCTCAGAGGGACAAGGAAGAAACACAAACGCTCTACTTCGCCAGAGAGGCCTTGGATTCATCCGCTACCTAGTTCCCCTTAGCGGCTTCGCTGTCAATCCTAAGCTGTCCCGAAGAAGGATTGCGGTTTAGGGTTTAGGGGCATGGCAACCCGAACGCTGGAGATGGTAAAGCAGCTAGCAGCCTTGACCGACAGCTCCTAAGACAGAGCCTTGCAAGAAGTCGGATGCATATTAGTTATATTAGTTTCTCGTGTCCAAACCGGAACCTCAACAATGTACCACCACCCATACGCTGATCCCCTCTCTCTTTTATCTCTCGCTCTCTCTCTCTCTCTCTGTCTCTCTCGCTCGCTCTCTCTGAATCTTGCCTGCTTGCATGGGGTTTAGGGTCCCACAGAACCCCTGTCCCGGAGGCCTACCCACACGGCGTGCATCGGTCTATCTGTCCGACCCCTCTTCGCGGAGGAAAGGCCTCCTCAACCCTCACCGTGATCCCACGAAAAAATGACGTCCAGGGGTTCTCTGGAGAAGCCATGAACGGTCATATGATGCTAGGTACAGAACAAGCTGAAGCATAGTCATCGTGACGCGTCTTCGGGCCTGTACGTTTGGAAGAACAGGCGGACTCATAACAAGGAAGCCAGGAAGATGCGCCCCCTCTGGATCCTGCCAGTCTGAGGGCAGTTCAAGTTTTCCAGAAGCTGCCTATGGAATCCATTGTACTTATAGGATTCCAAAGATGAACCCCAAAAAGGATGGAGCCTATCGGTATGATTTAGAAGGGGCACCCACCCTGTAATAGTGACTATAAGGACTATATTAGGACCCTATGATATTCCTATTATACCACTACTACAGGGTGGGGCCCCCTTCTAAGGTATGATCCTCAACTGAGAAAAGAGACAGGTCTTCACGCCAACGCCAGCCTCACAGGGAGGAACTGGCGACAGAATCAGGGGAAACCTCGAGAGTTGAGGGCTTGGGGATTATAGGGTTTAGGCTTGAGGGCTTAGGGTTTAAGGGCTTCGGGTTTAGGATTTAGGGCTTAGAGAGCTTAGGGTTTTGGAGCTTAATAAGGCAGTAAGCCCTTCGGGCAAGCACCAAACCTGCGGCTACCTCCCAATAGTACGTATATAGAAATGGCCTTTGATAGGTTTTTGGGCCATTATTTTACTTACTTGGTATAACTAAAACGACAGGATGGCGAACGTCGGGAGGACGCAGAAAAGCATCGTGTGGGGGAAAGGCAGAATAGGAGAGACTTGTCAACGGGATCCTGCACGAGTTCCCGTGCGGGCTTCTATACAGGCTCCTAGAACGGGTTCTGTAAGAGAACTCCGGGAAAGCAGCGAAGCGAAAGGGAGATGGAGGGCGGTCCCGTTTGAGGAATGTCTCAGAACATTATGGTACTAGTGCACACGATGATCCCAACAGCTCGGCTCTATGGACTCATGCTGCAAGGCAACAAGGCCATCGTAATTGGCATGCTATCCACGGGAAGGTGTTGGCTTCGGGCGTGGGGCCTACTTCAGGATCTACTTGTGCGATGATTCGCGATGGCATGTGCTGTTTCTCTCGGCCGAAGCAGACTTTGGTTGCAGGCAAGCTTGCGCTGTGCACCTTTGCCGGTAACCCGTCAAACCTGCCCAGAGGGACACCCAGGTGGACGAGTTCTGTACACGAATGCTGTAGAAGAGCAACGGCACATCTGCAAAGACTCACTAAAATATGTTGAAAAGAGCCAACATCGGACTGTGGACCATCACGGCCATGGGCAGGCCCGAGAGCTAGTACAGGTGACTAGCTCGCAGAATGCCCGGGACAGAAATCCTTACATAAAGCTTATAGTAACCTTGTAGTCATTGTGGTATTCCTACAGTAGCCCCATTGCATGATGCTCAGACGGCTTCGTCGCTGAGTTCGTGGCCTCCTTTGCCATCTGTGCGTAGCGAACACAAAAATGCAATAAAGGCTATCAGGTCGGATACCATTGCAGTCCAGGTGATCACCTTCAAGATTTCCAGGTAAATGGAAAACGAGAAGTCAAAATCAAATTCAAAGTCAAAGCTGGCAGGAAAGGTGAAGTTGGTGTACAGCGCGATCATGACCAGCAGCAAGAGTGCGTAACCACTCATGATGCCACAGGTGCCGCAGCACGTAATGCCTTGTGTGCTGAGCGTCCTATGAGAAAACTGCAGGCTTTGCGCCCAGAAAAGTTAGAAAAAAGGCCTATCACGCCAAAGAAAACTGCACTCGCATACTCAGCACCCAAGAAGCATGGATGATCATGATGATCATGGTGATGATGATGGTGGTGGTGGTGGTGGCGATCACCACTTGCACAGATGCATGCGAGTGCGCAGGCGGCAACAGAAAGGAAGGCTGCTGCAACAATCAACAAGAGAGCCGCCGTCTCATAAAGGGCCGGAAATCTTATCCAGACCTGCTGATCCTCCGAAACTTGGGTGTTGAGCGGAATGTAAAAGAAGTAGGGAATAAGGCTCAGAAGGCTGAACCACCATGCCTTCGGAACATCCACAAGCTTGGCGATCAGCAAGCAGCCCTCAAATACCACACTCAAGGCAGTTGCCACTCCGCCAAGGAGGAGCAGGTACCCAGGATTCACTTCGTAGGACTCCGCACCCATGCTAGCATGTGCCTTACCCAAGAATGAGTAGTGGTTCGTCAGAAGCGATGAGACATTGGCATGAATCTCAAAAACTGAAACTCTTCCAGAAAACCACTCATCCTCTTCGTGGTCGATGAAGCCACAATTCTCTGAGTTTTGATCCTGAGTTGTGCTTTAAACCCCTTGAAAAAATAATTTATGAACAGGTTACCTTTAAAAGCAAATAAGGAAATTAAAAAAATACCCCAAAGCACAACCCCAGGATCCGGTCTCAAGCTGTTCTTTTCTCTAGGTCGATAGATGGTGTGGTACTCGTCAGGCGCAGAGAGCTCAACCAGCAGGCAACCACGATGCTTTCGAAAGATCACAAATTGGGAATCTTCGATGAGCCACCTCGATGGATAGTCTGAGCGTACCAGGGCAAAGCAGGCCAAGGCTGCGAAGACAAACATCGCCACCTTCCTGGGCTCTAGTATCGGGGCCCCTAAAAATATTACCAATGGGCCTCATAGTAATTCCTTTTTGGAGTTCCTGTGTAGAATCCTCGAGGGTAATCCCAAAAGGGACTACTATGGGGCCTATGGGTAATGAGTATGTACCTCTGTTGGAACCATGAAGGAAAATCTACAAAAAGTTTCAGTGCCACCTAGCTTCTCAACGAACCTTATGACAGCTCCCAGAACAGATCCTTTCTTCTTTTCCGCCATGCGGAGGCAAATCTAAAGGCCGGCTCGTGCTTCCTTCAAGGGCCCTTTAATCCTTTCCTTGAGCCTCAAACTTGGGGCGGTTGAGCTGGTTGCTGAAGCACCAGCTGCGAGGCTGGTGCAATATCAGACAGAGCTCAACTGTATATTGTATACTAAGTTATATTACGTTATACTATGTTATACTATAACTACTGTACTGTATTATATAACTATACATTATTCTTCTATATTATACTATTCCACTGCCACACTTTCGCGACAACTTGCCCTTCGCTGCGCATTATGAAACTGAAAAGCGCAACGTTGCATGTAGTCTTGGGGAATAAGGTCAAATTGCTGTCGCTGTCCTCCTTAGCTCAATAATGCCTACACTCGAGCATGCGCCACTTTACGCCTCAAGAGTATAAGGGCAGCAGCGGTCGCAGCAGCACCGGAGGGACTTCTAGTCGTTTGTAGTCAGCAGCGGCCACCAATAGCAGCTGTAGCTGCATCAGCCAACAAGCCAGCCCTGAAACCCCTTTGTGAACCCGGGCTTTCTAAACCCTAACCTAGACCCTCAAAAGTAGGTAAACTAATGGCCCAAAACCTATAAAGGGATATTATTCTACATACTTTTGGGGTGCAGGAAACCACTAAACCCTCAAGCCCGAACCCCCTAAACCTAAGCAGCCGCCCCATCCCGGTCCGACCTCGACGGGTGCACAGAAGTGCAGCTCAAGCCCAGCCGGCCTGCTCCGTCACTTTATGTAGGGGCCGTAGTAGTTAGAAAAGGGTTCCTTTTTAATGGCTTCTATGGGGGTTCTATTGTAGACGGGTATAGTCTGGGGACCTTAACAATCCAGAGGGTCTTGGTGCAAATTCTCCCTATAATTGAAATAAGCCCCTCTGCGTATTTAGGTGTGGAAGGAGAGGGTCGGGCTGAACAAGGGTGTCGGACTAACCTGAGTGTCCCTTAACTTACGAGAGAGTAACATTGTGTAATCCCCAAATAACCTACCTTTTTAAGGACGTATATACAGAAATCATATTAGGGAACCCTAATAAAGGTAGGATCCTTAGGGTCCAGGTAGGTATCAGGCCCTGTTAAGCTTAGAATTAGAAGCCCGAACGAGGGCTTTCGAGCCTTTTCCGTTAAGGAGTCTCGACAAGCTTTGCGCGGGCCCGCTAGCCCGGCGCCCTGCAACTCAAGCCCATCATGGCCCCCAAGGCCCAACCTAAGCACTTACAACCGTCAACCCCAAACTCCCACAGACCCTTCATAACCCCAAAACCCTCGCGCGCCTTAACCCTATACCACCCCTGCAACCCTCGAAGGGAGGGGTCGGCAAGGGACCTCACGCTGAGAAAGGTGCGGGTGCTTGTCAGCTCGGCCTCCAGGAAGAGGGCTTGTTTAGAGCTTATACGGTTTCCGAGGTTTACCCCCCGAACGCTGAATCCTTTTGAAGCCCTGCTGGGCTTCTACCGTAGTCAGGGTGTGGGCAAAGGGAATTAGCCTGTTTCTGTTCGCAAGACTTATGGTAGTAACAGAGGCACTCGACGAGATTGTATGCAATGTGGGCGACGGCACGGCTTGGGGCCTTGGGCTCATCAGTCTAGGATTAGGGTTTAGGGCCAGGTGTGTAGTTTGTGAGTCTCATCGCTATATCTGCCCAGAGAACCCCATACCCCTTAATATTTATTAGGGTATATACCTTAAATTATAGGGGCATTAATATGATGATTTAAGGTATATTCCTTAATTAAGGGGTATTGGGCTCTCTGGGTGAGTCTTCCGGCCTGCCGCTAGTTAGTACGCGGGCCGTGTCACTGTTTGTAGCGTAATGCCATTGCCGCAACAATAGCAACTGGAAGCGTGCGAGACCGGAAACTCAAAACGAATACCAAGAAGAGTTGTCTCAAAACCTAGGGGTTGCGAAGCCTTCACCAGTTTCCCATGGTGACAAACCTGTTACAAACATTTCCGCAATGAGCCATCCGAGACCTCAAGCCACTTTTTCAAACGCGGACTCTGCCCAGCTGATCGGCAGAGACCTCAAGCCACTAAACCCTCAGCCCTATAAACCCTAAACCTCTAAACACCCAAACCCCAAATCCTAAACCCAGAGAGCCCAATACCCCTGAATTAAGGAATATACCTTAAATCATAATATGAAGCCCTATATAATTTGAACCATTCTCCTTAATTAAAGGGTTATTGGGCTCTCCGGGAACCCTCAGCTTCGATCCGCAAGCACCCCCTACCTGCTGCGTCTGCACCAGTGCCGCAGCGGGTACACTACCTCACAGAACTTGCCCAGGCTCGAAGAACTGACTGTGAGGTCTACCCTAAGGCCCCAAAGTAGTTCCTTTTTGGGGTTCATAGTTAGAATCTTATGAGGTAATCCCCAAAAAGGGACTACTATGGGGCCTCTGGGTAGTATATAGGGCTTTTGGAATCCCTTTTCAGGCGTCCTCAGCGTAGTAAACTGCAGCTGGGATGCGTGGCCAGAGCTCGTGTGAGGTTCTCTATACTGTCAAGCAGCAGATGCATAGAATGATGCTGCTTGGAGGTTGATCGATAGTGGGGTTATAAGTGCCCTAATAATGGTGATAATTAATACCCATGGAACCGCCAAGCCCACACTCATTCAACGGCCGAGATTGTCAGAATGGCGTTGCTTCCTTCACCCTACGTGAATAGATCACGTTGGTCTGGCTGTCGACCCCTTGTTCTGCCAGAGCCCATGAGTGCCTACACGAATCATGAACCCACTGAACCCTAAGCCTAGATCCCAAAATCTCTGAACCCTTAAAGCCCCAAAACCCCAATAGCTACTGGACTCAAGTCTACCCAGAGGCCCCATAGTAGTTCCTTTTTGGGGTTACCTTACAGGATTCTATAAAAAGGAACTACTTTGGGGCCTCTGGGTAGCCAGACTACGACCTGGAATCGTCTTACCTAGAGTCTCCATTGTAGTTCCTTTTTTTGGTTAACCAGTTTTATGGTTAGGATCCTATAATAGAGATTTTGGTTAACCAGAAAAAGGAACTACAATGGAGACTATAGGTATAACCTAACCCCAAACTTTGAAGCCAAGGCACAGATTGTGTGAGGCGGGAGCAGCAGCTCGCCCAGAGAAGTCTCTGGGAGCTGCCTAATGCGACCTCCCGGTGCACTACATTCAAGAAGCTCTATAAGGGTTTAGGGCTTTAGGGGGTTAAAGGTTTAAGTTTAGGTCTTATTGAGGCTTATTGTTTCGTGTTTAAAGTTGAAGGTTTAGGATTTCAGCCCGTTTAACCTCCGGCAGACCCCAAAGGACTACCCCGATGCTCTGAGGTTTAGAGGGCTAGGGTTTATGGTTTAAGGATGTTTAAGATTTAGGCCTGTTCCTCAGCGACAGTTCACTTGGAAGGGGCCTTGTAATCCACTACTAGCACCCCCCACATGGGCTCGAATCGTTCATGTACCTTGGCAGGCAAGCAAGAGGTCTCGGACAGGCGATAAATACAACCTTCGCGCCGGTTCCCCAAGTCCAGGAACCTCGAAGCTTTAGCTTAAGTAGAACCCGAAACCCTTTTTTGCCAAACCCAAACCCCCAAACCTCAAGCACCCGACACCACAGAAAGCTCTATGCTTCGGGGGAAAAGGGCCTGAGAAGATGCTCGTGCCACGGTCACAGGAGTGCGACGAACCCAGAAGCGAGGCTTCGCAGGCACCTATCGGCGGTTTTTGGCGTGGTTTCCTTGTGGCTTATACCAGTCCAAGGGCCTGAGGCTGGAAGATTTTCTTCAGATTTTGGGGTGCTCTTGTGGCCTGGGCTTGGGTTTGGGGTATGCTGCTTTATGCTGCTGATTTGTGCCATGTAAGCTAGATAAACTTTGCATTCCAGGATGTGCATGGCTGGAGCCGTGTTCCACAACTTGCTTCTTCAACAGTCAGCCATGACATGAGGTCTTCCGCAGTGCTTACTCCTGCTCCCATGACCCCAAACCCTAAGAATCTTAAGACCTAAACGAATGGTTGCCGGGACGCTGCTGGACCGCAGATCGACAGGGATCACTGCTCTTTTCTGCGCATCGTGGAACCTTTCTGAACGAAACTTCAGGCATGGGCGTGTGTTCTGCAAGCTTCATGATCAGCAAACAACTTCCGACAAATCGTTTCGGCACTGTATGATGTGATCATCTTGAATTCTTCCATGCGCGCCCTAATGGCTGCAACCTCGCCTCACCACCAATGTTAGGTCCGTCTGGTTGTGCACACGCAGTGGTGCCTGGATGGGGAAACATTGCTCCAAGAACGAGGCTTGCAATGTTGGTGCGGAGCGCCTAAGTCGTTGCGTCCTTATTAGGTCCTTACCCAGAGGCTCCATAGTAGTTCCTTTTTGGGATTACCTTATAGGGTTCTATATATGAACCCCCAAAAGGAACTACTTCGGAGCCTTAGGGTAGCAGGAGAGGATCTGGTTGGTTGGTTCTAACGCTAGGTCTGCCCCAACTCGCTGGCTAATGTTTTTTTGAAAAACCATAGGTTTATAGGTTTAAAAAAAAACCATAGGTTTTATAGGTTTTTTGAAAAACAGACGCAGGCACTGGCGAATCCCTGCATCGGATTGCAGCTGCATTCGCTGCCTGCGAGGATCTTTCGAAACCCCGAGCCTGCTAGCTGCATCTTCATGCGAGCTTGTAGTGGAAGGAAGCCCTTGCTGGGCTCAGTTCAAAAGCCTGCTACATCAACCTCCAAAGCTCTTAACTCCACACCTTCCAGGCATCAACCTGCACATGGTATGTGGCTAATTTGAAGCTACGCAGGCGCGGAATGCTAAACCACGCATACCTAGAATAAGATCCCATAAAATGAGCCTACCCTCAAAACGTCATACAATTCCGACGCCACCCTAAGCCCCAAACCCCCAAAAAAAGAGTGTAGACCCAGTGAGCGCCAAAAGCTCAAGCAGGTTGCCCCTAGGAGGATCAGCTTGTGCGACGGGCTGGGCGACAGCATTTCCTTTGGGAGGATCAGGCTGATCAGCAGGTTTTTTTCTTTTATATATGGGCCCTTTTCCAACTGTTCTAAGCAGGTTTCGGCGCCCACACTCGGGCCATCCAGACGAGGCATGTGGTTCTCTGAGCAGGTTTAGGGTTTAGGGCTTTGGGGCTTAAGCTCGAGGGGTTTGGGGTTTAGGATTCAGGGTAGGTTATAAGAGTTGGGCTTTACTGGGTGTAATACGGGATGGGGCCTGGATTTGAGGATGTGGGGTGGGCTTGGTCGGTAGCTTTACTTGGCGCTGGGGGGGGTCACTGCTAAGCGACGATCATCTAGGGGATGCAAGAACCGAATCCTAGCCGCGAACCCTACCCCCAACCACTTACATGGCGCCTTGATCCTAAAAGGTGAACGGTCAGACGTTGGGATATGAGCAGCTTGCATTTCACGTCTATCAGGCACTGAGGAGGAACCTAAAACTTACATGTTGTGTGTTGCGGCGTGGACGAACGCTAGCTCTGATTTTTGTTGGGTGGCAGACTTTATTTAACTCTGAAGCTCCTATGATAAGCAGGGTTGCCGGAAGAAGAATCTGAATAAGATGTAGTTTTAAACGGGAAGCCCTCAGCAATAGTATTGATAACTGTTCACGCTTCCGTATTAAACCCATCCCTACCTAGAGGCTCCATAGTATAAAAATAGGTCTTGTTGAGGGTTCATATTTAGAATCATATAAGGTCATCCCAAAAAGGAACTACTATGGAGCCTTAGGGTACGCCGCTAACACCGCCAGGGCTCTGCGACGCATCCGACGGCAGGGATGGTCACCGCACCGGAGCGCTCAAGGGAGAGCCACTCTGACTTGGGAGACTTCTTGTCGTCCTGGGCTTCGGTTTTTCTTCCCTCCTACCCAAGGACGAAGCCCGCATTGCAGGGAGTCTTGGTTGGACTGCTGAACAAAGCTGCTGCACTTCGGTTTAGGGTTTAGGGTTTAGAGTATCTTAGCCTTGGTTAGTAAGGAATGGAGGAATGGTAGTAATAGTAGTTATCATTGGACTCCATTCCTCCATTCCCTACTAACAAAAGGTAAGTCTGGGGCTCTCGAAAGTCCCAACAGAATCTGTCTTGACAGAGGCAGCTGATGGGAAAGTGCCTGACGCACGATTCGGTTGATCCGATCCCCCTGAACGCCAAACGAGGGGAGCCGAAACGAACATCAATCCCAACTGGATGGGTCATTGAGTTCCAACTTCTCCCGACATGTCTCAAGCCATGGATTTGATAGCACGTGTCCTGAAGCACTCTCATGGAAATGGGAATCGGCCCAACAAGTAAGAGCTCAGCACCGCGGACATAAAGACTGTATTTGGGTAGTTCTCGAAATTAGGGCCCTTCTTTAGAAAACCGAAAGAAGGCGGCACCCTCATAACAAGGACCCCAAAAGGGACCCTAATTGAAAGAACTACCCATTCAGATTAGTGAAACCCCTATACCCTTATAGAATCCCTATAGACCACTTTAAAGGGACTCCTAAACCCTAAACCCCTAAAACTACCCATGGTGAAAACCCCGTGGGCGGGGGCGCCTTTCCATGAGGATGCGAACGGTCCGAGACCTGGCAGGCAACTTACTATAGGGGCTTGTTTAAATCAGAACAGGGTTCCCTTTAAAGGGATCCTTAATTAAAGGGATCTATAGTAGGGTCGTATGATATAGGGGCCTTAATAATTAGGGAAAGTTTTGGGGCCCGTTATACTATATTCATAATAAGGAACCCCCCAAATAGTATAGGTGTTTCATAAGGTCCCTATGTTACTGGCATTTGAACATGTGGGAAACAGGGGCAGCTATTATACATCCATGGCACCGTCTGCCTCTCTGGTCGTTTCAGGGCTTTCGGCTGCGCTTTCGGAGTCTGACGGCTATCCGGCTACATTTTGCGTCCTCGTGAGTGTTCAGCGAGCAACAAGGATGACAACAATAACGTAGGATGATGCTAGAACCACTCATGCAGAGTAACATCGCTAGTATCATCACCACTCTCATCCCTTCCCCATCCTCACCCTGGTCCTCCTCCTCATCATCATCAGCAATATCATGGTTTGTGCAACCGACACAGTAATTTCTCCAACGAGGGTTCAAGAACGGTTCATCATCGAACAAACACTACGAGGAACAAGAACTGCTAGTCATAGTCATCACCGTCATCGTCTTCATTGTCACTGTCGTAGTCAAAGACCCCCAGAGGGCGTCAAAACCTTCAAAAACGAAACTCAGACCATGACGAACCAGTGGTTTTGGGGGTTCCCTTGGCTGTTTAGCTCCTAAATTAATAGAGATTATCATCATCTCTGGCTCCTTAGCTCCTCCAATATCAATGGTTAGATGAATCTGCTCGCCTGTGCCGTCACCGCTGTGGCGAAGTGCGGGAGCACCCATCTCGGAAGGAAGCAAAACTCAGGACATGAGATTCCAGATTCAGGCCACTTACCCAGAGGCTCCATAGTAGTTCCTTTTTGGGATTACCTTATAGGGCTCTATATATGAACCCCAAAAAGGAACTACTTTGGAGCCTTAGGGTAACGTCCTAACAAGAAAGGTTGGGGCACAGCATAGATAAACATATACCTCTTGGGCACCATGTCTTGTTAATCCTCGACTTCATATCACAGATGACCTGATGTAGGTTTCTTCGAGCCCTATATACCCACAAGAAGCAAACCGACAAGCAATCCCGCTTGCGGTCTGTACGACATGCTCTCGATGTGCTCGGCGTCCTTGCCGGATTGCTACTTACAGGCCTGTAGGGTGCACCAAGACATATGCGGTGTGCCCACATCTGTAGGCATCCCACAGTTCAGCGTCAGCTACAACATGATTACAAACCTGATCAGCTTAGCATATATGGGTTTGGCTTCAGATGCGTGGATCACCGCATCGCATTCGTAATAGCGTAGCGGTTGTAAGCTCACATGCTGCGCTCTACGCACCCGCGCTTGAAGGAGACCAGCATAAACTAGCTAGCCCTGCACCCTAAACCCTAAACCCTACACCGTAGTTGCCGCCCAGGCACTCATCCAACGACCTCCAATCAGATCCACCTGGGACAAGAAGCTGCGTATTGGTTTTAAGCTTTGAGGGCACTTGTGACTTCCCACTTCGCAAGGACATTTAGGGTCTCTCACTTATAAAGTTATAAGCAGGGTAACTATAATCATAGCTCCTATAAGGGGGCTTATAACCCCACTTATGACTTAGAACTACCCAGGAACCTCCAAGTAGGGCCCACAAAAACTTAAGTAGGGTTTCACAAAGCGAACCGAGGATCGGGAAAAGGCTGAGGCTTCTACGCAAAACTGCCTCGACTGCAGGGGCAGAAGCCGGGGCAAAGAAAGGCCGTGCCTATAACGATTCGAGAGCCGTAGACCCAGGCAAACCCAAAATCCGAATTTTAGGGTTTAGGGTTTAGGATGTAGGTTTAAGGAACTTACAAACAAGTCCGAAACAACACTGAATAAAGCACGCAGAGCTTTGAAGTCTGATAGGCTGGATAGACAAGGTTTCCAATGCCAGGCCCAGCCACTCGGCTTCACCAGAGCCATGACATTCTTGGTATACCTCGGGCACCGCAGGGTTTTCAAGACCAAAAATACCTTACAGAGGTATTGTATGGTGAGCCTTTCGCTTAGTAGCTACAACAAAGAACGAACGGAAGGCGTCCTGTCAAAATGTCGTGGGATTAGGGTCTATAGGTCCGACGAAACTGCACAGCATACTCCGTCAGAAAGCAGCAGTGCAACCTCTCGCCGTCAAACGTCAGGATGCTAAGCAAGCTCCGCCGCCTCCTAGAAGACGGCAACAGAAAGAACACTGTAGCTATCTACGGTTCTAAACCCCCTGAACCATAGACCCCCAAAATCTCAAAACCAAACCTCGCAGCCTCTATCCCGATCTGTAAGAACTGGGAGCTGAGGTGCTGAGAACCGTTCGAAGGGTCCTAAGCACCTATATTAATTTAGCAGAATGTAGTAGGGCGAATCCGTACTGACATGCTGTCATTGGAAAGATCCCAGCGTAAGGCCGACTTTCTATATTAGGAATCATTGCCATGATTTGGGAGATATTATCACCCGCAGCAGTACCTAGGACCCCTTGGGCCTTTCTGTCAAAGCGATGCAGGCGGAATGCACCTGGTTGTCCGTCAGCAGTGCAATATCAAATTTCAACCGTTGTAAAAGAAACAAGTAGTGATGACCGGTTATTAATAAGATCCTGATGGTTCTTGCTCGCATGGCCAAGTATTTATTCGTTCCCCTGCTTCATCTGCGACGCTGCGCCTCGAGCGGAAGTGGAGCTTGATGGCAGAGCCGAACAAGTTTACAACCTGAGGCGCTCTTATTCCGGACAGACGCAGGAGGTGTGGACAAGAAAATCGAAGCCCAAACTTTCGGGTTCAGGGTTTACGCAAAACCTTTCAGAAAGTCTGAAGACCCTAGATGACCCTAGACACGCTAGACCTCTAAACTCTAAACACTCAATATTCAATCCCTATCGAGCCCCAACGAAAACAGCATTACAAATTATCAAAGAAAGCTCCGCCAAACGCAGCAGCAGCGGGCTGCAGGGTTCGACTAAATACAGGCAACATGCATTATCAAAGCCGAGCCGCACGATACTTGATGCCCTTGGCAGTCTTCGCATCGTGGTGCCCGTCGTGGTGATGATGATGATGGTGCTGATGGTGGTGATGCGGATCGTGGTGGTCTTGGTGCTGCTCTGCATGAGCGTGGACAACGCGTGCTCCATGACCCTCTTCGCCCTCGCGTTCCTCCTTCACGGGTGCAGCTTACCTACTAACCTGGCGACTGGAATTCCGTGCATTCGCTCCTGATGACTGATGTGGGCAAGGCGCAGTACGCAGATCTCCAGATTCTGCAGTTCTACTAAGCCAAGTCTTCTCTTCAGATTCTTTCAAGTTGCGTGCCACACAAAAAACTGCATGCATTCTATCATACTATAAGTCTTACGTCTTCTCGGCCATGGTCTCGCCGTGGCACCATCGTCTTAATTGACTACCACTACTACTACTGCTGCCACTGCCACTGCCACTGCCACTGCTACTGCTACTACTGCTGCTGCTGCTGCTGCTGCGGCGACAAGTACTACTACTACTACTACTACTACTACTACTACTACTACTACTACTACTACTACTACTACTACTACTACTACTACTACTACTACTATACTACGACTACTACGACTACTACGACTACTACTACTACTACTACGACTACTACGACTACTACGACTACTACTACTACCACCACGACTACTACTACTACTACAACCACGACGACTACTACTACTACTACTACTACGTACTACTACGTACGACTACGTACGACTACGTACTACTACGTACTACTACGTACCACGACCACGGCTACTGCTACTACTACGACGACGACAAAAAAGAAGACCAATCCTATTGCATCCTATTGCTGTTCCGCTGCTGCCGCTGCTGCTGCTGCTACTAGCACGACGACGACTACATGTACTGCCACTGCTGCCAGCAGCTACTGCCACTGCTGCTACTACTACTCCTACTACCGCTACCACTAGTACTACTGATAGCGCTATCTCGACAACGACGACGATGACAACGACGACGATGACGAAGACGAAAACGACCAAGGCGGCGACTGCTACTGCTACGATGCTGCTACTGCTACCGCTATGCTGCTGCAAACCCAGACGCCCCGGAGGATCTAGAAAGTAGCTCCGCTAATTTGGGGCCCTATACTACTCAGGGTACCTTCTAGGAACCCTCATTAAGGGATCTACTTTTTGGATCCTCCCGGGGGTCTGGGCAGAGAGTGGCAGAAACACAGCAACGCCCAGGTCCTCACCCGCTCCCAAGAGGTCCGAAGATGTAACACTCTCGATGAAGAGCGGAGTGATGTACTTCAGCTTCTTTACCTGGGAGTTTCCGAAAATGGGGGTACCTTATTTTGGGGTCCTTATAATAAGGATCTTACTATTTAGGGTGCTATATTAGGGTCCCCTATTCTCGGAAACTCCCACCTGGAGGTGTCGAGGGACTCGTTCACCAGGATACTGGACAACAGCCGATGCACTTGAGGGTGTCGGGCAGTTGCTTCCAGGTGTCAGGGTGTGAGGGCTTGGATTTGATGTTCTATCGGCTAAGACTTGCTCGGAACTGCTCAGCTCGCAAATATCACGCGTCCAACGATTGAAAAAGCATTCGGACCTGGACGTCGTTGTTTGGTCGAGGATTTACATGTTCTGAGCACAACCGCATAGAGGTTGTCTACGCCGATATCACATGTCGGCGTTGCAGTGCTCGATGACTCTTCACGCTGCCTTTTCCTAGGAGAAGTTGGAGCCCTTAAGCTTAGGATGTGTCAATCATGAGGAGGCGTCGAGTATCTAGGAGATTCAGAATCCCACGGACCCTGTATGAGAGGCCCCCCAATCCTACACCCTAAACCCTGGGCCATAAACCCTCCCAAAAGAGATAGTAGCCTTGTTTAAGTTAAGGACCCCGGACCACAAGGGGGCCTCTATGGGCATCGTGTTCTGCCAGTGGCAATGCTTTGGAACTTTGACTATAACATACGGCAGTATCATATCATAAAATGCACTATGATATAGTATGATAGCATAATCTAAGATATGACAATGTCATACAATGCGATTACGGCTTTCACTGTGCAGCTTCCAAGGTTTCGATCTTCTCTGATGCATCAGCTGCAGACCAAGCTGCCAAGGAGGGTGTCACGTTGATCTTGGCTTGAGCTGAGACGGTTTCGGTTTCAGGCCAGCCCCCTCTATCCTGGCTTACCGTCGTCGACAAAGTTATGCGGAAAGCATGATACTGCCGCCGTGAGCATAGAGGGGTTATGAACACAGAGTTCTAGCAAGTCTTCTCTCTAAGCATATGAGGATGACGACATGACTGTTTGCGAAAATTCCGAAGAGAAGAACCCGGCCGACACATCTATCGGGTTTCGGCGTGTTGGTTTGGGCTGGGGGGTAAGGGGCCCTTATGAACTTGTTCGAGAAGCCCCAATATGGAGGTGTTTCCGCTTCGACTTGCTAGTTTTTTCAGATAATGTACCGGGACTATGCGCGGATGCTCGAACGAATTACCCAGGCTTCTACTGCCAATGCACTTGCTGATGCTAGTGAAGTAAGAGCCCTACCCATGCCAGGGTTGGAGAAGAACCACTTCAAACAACGAAGAAAGGCACACACACACACACCGATTAAACCAGACAAGAGAGAAGTCTTAACAATTGGAGCCATAGTTGTCACTGCATCTCACTTAGCCGAAATTTGGAGGGGGGAAGGGTTGGGCTTAGAGATCCATTAGGGCCTGGCCGACGGGAAGCTTCAAGAAAACAAAGATGGTGGATTAGAATAGGGCTTTGGGGCGTATATTCTACTATACTACTAGGAAACCCCCAGAATGGTATTGTCACTTACCTTTGTCACTCGCGCTCCACGAATCGTTGCTGAGTTTTTTTTTTTTACTTGAGTTTATTTTTACTAGTAGGTTCTTGATTCTTATCTTAATCTAAACTTCCCGAGCAGTAACCACTAACTCCTGTAACCATGCACGACGAATCCTGCAGTAGCTATATGCAAACCCTGACTCCACGGTACACGTGAAGGAACCCCCACACTCCTACAGTAGAAGCCAGAAAGTTGGAACATCGTTAGCCTCATGCCCTTAGAGTAAAGTATAGGGAATCCATGAACCATCCTAAATCTATGTTCCAACTTTCTGGGGTTCACCATATGGGAGTTTCCGAAACTAGGGGACCCTAATTTAGTACCCCAAATCGTAGGAGCCTTATTATAAGGACCCCCAAAATAAGGTACCCCTAATTTTCTACGATGAAACCAAGACACCAACACCGGCTCGTGGCCCGAGACGATCACCTTAGGGTCCGCGCGGGGGATGAGCTTCCAGACCATGTCGGGAAAAGGTTTAGGGTTTAGGGTTCAGGGTTTAGGGTTCAAGGTTTAGGGTTCAGGCTTTTGGTGTTTGAAAAGTCTTTGACGTATTGGAAGCTCATGACATAGTTCCTAGAGTTGATTGAAAATTTCGCGGGATTCAGGATCTGTGGGCCTGTGGGCGAACCACGTCGTAGCACGCCTCTGAAATCCAGCCCGCCCTTCAAGAAGCGTTGAGAACCTACTAAGCTATCCTGATGCTCCTACTCATGTGATTATAATGTAGCATGTTATATCATACTGTTCTACTGTATATTGGATTATGCTATAATTATCATTTGCTCTACTACTATATCTGTATTCTGTTAAAATAATGCGTCCAGCGGCATTGATGTCCCGGTCTTCTCCATGCATGTGCCGCTCCACTTCCAGGCCCATGCGAAAATGCCTCGGCGTGCAGAAGACCCAAGCAGCCGGGCGCAGGAAAGGTGCACATATGGTGTGACATGCCACTGAACCACACCGTTCCCATCCAAAAGCCCTGCAACAGACATCCACAAGCCTATATATACTCTGCGAGCACGCTCATATACAAGTGCATATAGATATTTCTTTTTGCTTGTATTCATATGTATATGTATATGTAAAATATGTATATGTATATGTGCTTTTGTGTATGTTTGCAAGTATGTATGTATGCATGTATGTATGGACGCATTTATGAATGCATGTGTGCATGAGCGCATGCAAAAAAATCAAGCGGAGCCCATAGCCCATAGACCCTACCCGGCCCCTAAACCCTGAACCCCTAGACTCTAGACCCCTGTTAAACCCTTAATTTCCCCAAAAACCAAATGCCAATGCCCTTCTCGATGGCCCCGAGCCCCGACATACCAAAAGCCCCGAAGAAGCTAAGCCCTAAACCCTAAACCCTAAACCCTAAACCGTAAACCCTAAACCCTAAACCCTAAACCGTAAACCCTAAACCCTAAACCCCTGTTCAGCCCAGAAATGCTTTGAGTGGATCCCTTGTAGTTATTCTTGGGTTAGTTTAGAGGATCCTAAATACAACACTACTTAGGCAAACCACAAAAAGACAAAGGAACTACGAGGGTTACCTTATAGGATTCTGCATATTATATAGTTGGTTAAGCCACAATTACAATAAGAATAAGGAACTACCTGGACCCCAAAAGTATGTAGAATCATGGCCTTTTTTATAGGTTTTGGGCCATTCTTTTACCTACTTTTGAGGGTCTAGGTACAATGGAGACAAGAGGTACGCCCCTTTCGACTCCCTGCCGCCAGGTGTCTCGAGGAAGGGCTCCCAGACCCCGCTTTGGGGATTCAGCGACTGCCTTTGCCATCGGTTTAGGCTTGGTTTAGGGAGTTTTTAGGTCCTGCCTCAGTTACTGAGGATTTAGGGCTTATAGAGCTTCGGGGTTAGTTTAGTTGGGGCATTCGGCATTCCCAAGGTTTCGCGGTCGTGGGGTGACTCGACTGTCTCAGGTGTCTTTGCTGTGCTTGCTTATTCATCTCTATAGGGCTCGCTAGGACTCTGGGGTTTATCACCGATCTTCGTTTGAAAGCTTGGGCTTACTTGTGGTGCCGGGAACGGCCCAGCAAGAGAGCCCCTAAAAGCCATTAACCGTGCAAGGTCGAGGAGCAGTTTCGTGGGAAGCTCTCGTGGGGTTTTAAGAGTCCGAGGGTCTTCCAGTTCCCGTATGTCCTTGTATGGACGGTCTGGGCGACTTGAAGAAAGGAGTCACTTAAGTTTTGTTTTGTGGAAAGCTCGCGCGCATGGTATTCAAAGGCGCCCATGCTGAACGCCATCTGCTTGCAGACTACCAGGTCTCTTTGCAGCTCTTCTCACTAACAAGCGGTGTGCAAGCCGCCTGAGCTCACCCGTTGAACGCCTAAACTTGAGCCTCCACGCCCCCTGAACACTCGCAGGCTGCTAGACAGAAGCCCGGCGACAACTCCAGGGTGAAGTCTTGGATGTGGTTCGTCAAGATGTTGGGCTCCTCAACACGCAGTTGGACGAAAGGTGGAGTAGGGTTTAAACCCATTGATTCAGGGATGTCAGTCTAAGCGCCAACCCAGCCCTGCACTTCTCAAACACTGAATTCCACAAGCCCTGCGAGCTGTGTGCCCCCGAGCGGGCCCCCAAATCAACATGCATGATCTTTAAGGGAAGACTCCGCAAAAAGGGAAACCCGGATGTCAAACAAGTCTCAGGGAAAAAGCAAAACTAAACCCAATTCAAGACGTTCCGTGCCTGACCCCACTCACCTACTCAACCCTCGCCAGAGACCAGCCCCGTGCACCGTCCCCAAGAAGCTTCGGCTCTGCTTCAGGGCCCACACCCCCTACCTATAGTCTCCATTGTAGTTCCTGTTTTGGGTTACCTTATAGGATCCTTAATATATAACTGGTTAAACCAAAAAAAGGAACTACAATGGAGACTATAGGTAACATCTTCAGTGTGATGAGACGCTAGAACCCAGAGCTAGACAAAGCAAGATCAAACCGAAGCAGCCTCAGCAAAGCACCGGGACCTCACACCCTAAACATCCTTGAACCTTACTGTACATTGCCTTCACAGAGCCCTTACAGTATCAAGGCACCCTTCCAGCATCCTTTCAACCGAATCCCTTAAGCCTTCCGGCACCCCTTTACCAGCCTTATGACCTCCTTTTTATCCTTCGAGGCACCCCCTTAAACACCTGACCTCACCCCTCAACACTTGGAGAACCCTCAAACGAACCCTTAAAGGAATCCTCAAAAGCCACCCCCCTTAAACCCTAAACACGTGACGTAAACCCTAAACCCTGAAGGCACCCTCTTAAACGCTAAACTCCAACCCTGAAACCATAAACCCTTAACCCTTAAACCCTGAACCCTAAACCCTCTAACTTAGGCCCGAAACCCCTGAAGCCCTAAACCTTCAAACCCCAAAACCCTGCATTACAAATAATAGGGAATGTACCATAACTCCCATGGTTTACCCTAAGCCCCCAGACCCTAAACCCCCTAAACCCTAAACCGTCTCCTTCTGCTTGTACATGACCAGACCGGGCTTCGGCAGCTCGGCGCGGCAGCGGAGGACCTCATCGGAGCCGGTTTCAGTTTGAGCTTAAAGGCTTCCGCAGGGGGCTTCGTAGGTTTCATAAAGAGCTGCATAGGTTTCAAAAAAAAGGGCTCCACAGGTTTCAATAAGGGGCTTCATAGGTTCCATAAGGGCTTCATGGGTTTCGATAAGGATTTCAAAGGTTTTCTACGCTGCACACGGGTTTCAGAAGGGTCCGGTAAGGGGTTCTCAGGGTGGGCTGGGAGCTTTAAGGGCATGAACCCTACTTGGAGGCTTATGGGTAGGTATTGGTGGGGTCACAAGTAAGGTAACTACAACTATGACCCCTTATTAGGGGACCTCTAACCCTGCTTACAACTACCCATGCACCTCCAAGCACCCTTTTTTTAAGGAACCTGATTAAGAAACCCTGGGCCTATAACCCCCAAATACTAGGATTCATATGAGGGGACCCTAATAATAAATTCCCAAGCCGGGGTGCGGGGACGATGGAATCGGCCAGGACCATGTCCACCGCCTCCAAGTTGACCTCGCCGCGCGGCTACGAAGGTTTCAGGGTCTTGGGCCAAGGTTTGGTGTTGAAGTCTTCGGGTTGCAGGTTGTGGGCTTAGGCCCTCTACTACTACTACTACTACTACTACTACTACTACTACTACTACTACTACTACTACTACTACTACTACTACTACTACTACTACTACTACTAGTATAGAGTTTCGAGGCTTCCTGATACGGCTTCAAAAGCCTCAGTTTAACTTAGCGGCCAGGGTTGCAGGCTGCCAGGCAGCTACCAAGGATTGGGACTGATGGTGTGAGAGTCGGCTTAGGGTTTAGGGTTTAGGGTTTGGGGTTTGGGGTTTAGGGTTTAGGGTTTGGGGGTTTGGGGTTTAGGGTTTAGGGTTTAGGGATGATTAAGTCATTGTTAGCCGTTGCTTCACAGGGGTCTTGATACTTCGAACAGATGTTTGGGGGGAAGATGATACTAGAATATATGTACATGCATATGCATCATATCACGATCAACTGTGAACCCGAAACTCTAAGCTATGAAGCCTGGGCCGTTAGTAACGACTAAAAAGTGTCGCGGCAAGATGATTCGCTCCTACCAGTACCTGGGGTATTTTCACGATGCCAGTATATGCCAGTTGACTGCCCAAGATTGAATGTGCGTACATGGCCCAAGATGAAGACCTTGCCCCACAGCCAGAACTTGCCACGGTGTCAACAGCTTGGCAAAACATTTGGGCATTCATAGCCCTCCGTGTTCATCAATTCCAGCTGTGCAAAACACCCAGATCTGCCACACGCCTCAGGCCTCGCGAACAGATAACTACACCTCCAAGCCAGAAACAGCACACACTTCATGTAGGTACTGCCCCCATACAGTAAGAGTCTGTAATAGGGCTACTACTAAGGTCCTAATATATCTATAGTCTGAATATTTTTTCAGATATTTCTCAGCATGTCCAGTGAGCCGAACATGGCAACCCCAAAGCCGAAGGGGCAGAGAGGTTGAAGATGAACTGCTTCGCCCTGACTTCTTCCATCTGCTTCGTCGCCTGCTCCACCTCGCCAGGCTGAATATGGAAGACTGACATATACATGTAATTCGTAAGTGATGGTGTATATATATATATACATGTATATATAGATATTATATTTTGTACATATATACATATACTGTGTCAGACAGATAAAGAGGTGATAAGGGCATGCCATCCATAGCCACGTTAACTGTGGGCCCCGTCATCAGTGTCATAGTACAGCTTATGGCCGTCGTAGTACGACAACACCCGTTGGAGGATTTCGCAGTTCGTGCGCACAGGCAGGGGGACTTTAAGTTTCGGATTTTCAGGCCCTAAACCCTACATGCCAATTCCTAAAACCCAGCTTCGAAAATGGTGGGGAACGGTTGCTTTCAGTGGGTGCAGCGCTGTGGATTTGAGGCTTGCGAGGCTTGGAAAGGCTTCATCACTTCAGTGCCTGAACCCTAAACCCTGAAAGGTCAAGAAGGTTGAGGCTTAAGATTTAGTGCCTACCTGGACCCTAACTACGTTTTTAGGGTTCCTTATGATGATTCCTTGAAAATGTGGGTTAGTTGGGGTCCAGGTACGACTTAAGCCGAGTCTCCCCCCATCTTCAAACTCCACAGGGCTTGGGGTTTAAGATTCGGGGCTTAAGGTTAGAGTTTATAGCGCTTAAGCCGCCTCTCCCCAGCTTCAAACTCTGCCGTTTTAGAGCGCCTTTTCTGTGATTTGTTTATATAAGTCCTTAAGAAGGGGTCGGCTACTTGCCGGACTTTAAACACCGAAGCTCTGCTGCAGCCCATGGCGCGAGGCTTTGAGCTTCGCCTTGCTCCTGCTCGTCAAGGCGATGGTGCTTGAGTTTCAGGGTTTGGTGTTTAGGAGTTTTTGAGTTTCAGGGTTCAGTTCTCCGGGCTCGTCACGGGGTTTGGGGTTTAGGAGTTTAGGATTTAGGAGTTTGGGGTTTAGGAGTTTAGAGTTTCAGGGTTCAGTTTAGGATTTAGGAGTTTCGGGTTTAGGAGTTTAGAGTTTCAGGGTTCAGTTTAGGATTTAGGAGTTTCGGGTTTGGGGTTTTGGAGCTTCGGATTTGGGGTTTTGGAGTTGAGGGTTTAGGGTTCGGGAGTTTAGGGTTTAGGGTTTTGGAGTTTAGGTTCTTGGGTTTTGGAGTTTAGGATTTAGGGTTTAGGAGTTTTGGCTTTAGGATTCAGGGATTTCGGGTTTGGGAGTTTTGGATTTAGCTTTAGTTGTACGGTTCAGTTGTTGTTTGCCCTTTTGCGCAGCCCTCTTCTTTCCTGCCAAAAGCTTTGGGTTTCGGCGCTCATACTCGAGCTTTCGGGCTTGTCGTGGGTCCCAAGGACGGAAAGATGGGCAGAACGGGTTTAAAGGGGTTGTCAGCTGGCTCACTCCACAACCAGAACCATAAGAGCTCGCCTCCATTTCTCAGCGACAGCTTCTTGATCTGCACTACATGTCTGGATTCTTGGAAACAGACTCCGGAACCACAAACAGACTCCGGAATATTAAACATCTACACAGCAATGTTGAGCACCTCTGGCTGGGTTCTTGGAGCTGTTGCCCCAGGTATATATTTGGGTGGGTAGCCTTCGGCTTGGCTGGCTGGTGGGTGGGATCATCCTTTTCGGGTTCCTGTGCATTTTCGACAAAAAAATCAACTGGTTCGTTTCCGTGTTTCCTATATATTAAAAAACAAACGACGGCACCAAAGAAACAAACAAAACATAAAGGATTGAATGGTCAGGTGATTCAAAATCAAAGATCGGTCCGATGAAGATGAGTTTCGTTTTGGGCAAAAGATTGAACCTGAACCTGCAAACAAACATATCATATCATATCATATCATATCATATCATATCATATCATATTATGCATGCTTACATACACACATTCTAAATATATATATATATATATATATATATATATATATATATGTGTGTGTACACATGTATATATATATATATATGTTTCTTCTCCCGTATCATATGAGGCACTTTGCCAGCAGCACTGCGTCAGGAGTGCTTTGCAGCAGCGGCAGCTGTAACCAAAAGCGGGAGCTTAAAACCATAACCCATTAACCTTGCAAGCCCTAAGCCTTAAGCCGCCGATGAACACTAATCCAAAAGGGCCTAGGACCTAAAACTAGACGTTAAAGCTGGTGCTGCAGAAGTACCACTTAAAGGTGCTGCCGAAGTACCTGTCCTAAATTAGGTTTTGGCTGCCTTTAACGAATTAATTAGTTGGATTTAGGGTTTCCGGCCCTACCCTACCGGTTTTAAGTTGGGCTTAAGACTCAGGGTTTTGAGGTTTTAGGATTATAAAGTAATATAGGGCGATAATGAAACGGTGCTGTACAAGTACCGTATGGGTGCTGCAAAAGCACCCCCCCAAACTAGAGTTAGCTTTGCTCGCTTAAGTTAGCTTAGGATAGTTTTAAGCTAAGGATAAGTAGTAGTCGGTGCTGCTGAAGTACCGCTCGGGTGCTGCAAAAGTACCCTGCCTAAAGCTATAGGTTTAGCCTTGCTCGCTTAAGTTAGCTTAGGAATTTAGGCTAAGGATAAATAGGAGACGGTGCTGCATAAGTACCGTGCAGGTGCTGCAAAAGTACCCTGAAGCTTTAGCATTAGCCTTGCACGCTTAAGCTAGCTTTGGATCGCTTTAAACTAAGGATGACTAGAAGACGGTGCTAGCCTTGCTCGCTTAAGTTAGCTGCGTATAGTTATAAGCTAAGGATAAATAGTAGACGGTGCTGCGTAAGTACCGTGCGGGTGCTGCAAAAGTACCCTAGAGCTCTAGAGCTAACCTTGCTCGCTGAGTTAGCTTAGGTTAGGTTTAAGCTAAGGATAGATAGCAGACGGTGCTGCGTAAGTACCGTGCGGGTGCTGCAAAAGTACCCTAGAGCTCTACAGCTAACCTTGCTCGCTGAGTTAGCTAGGGTAGTTTTAAGCTAGGGATAAATAGCAGACGGTGCTGCCTAAGTACCGTGCGGGTGCTGCAAAAGTACCCTACAACTTTAGAGCTAGCCTTGCTCGCCTAAAGTAAGGTTGTTTTAAGCTTAGGACTAAGGGCAAGCGGTGCTGCCTAAGTACCGTGTGTGGGTGCTCGACTCCCAAACATGGGGTATATCTGAATTTAAGAACGGTGCTGCATAAGTACCGTGCTGGTGCTGCTGTAGAATGTCCTTAGGCACTACCGAGAACAAGATCTAAAATTATTTCACTTCGAATCCAAGCTCCCTAATCCTATTCTTAAACCTTCCATGTCCGGTGCTCATACACTAGGCTACTAACCAAAACCCGAAACCGGCGAGGACGAGGGTCCTTCCTCGGGGGCCAAGACGTCCGATGCCCAGCAGGTCCAGCCTGGAGTGCAATCATAAGCGAAGTGAGACCAGCATTGTAAAGCACCGTAGTCAACGGCTTCACGCATGCGACTTTTCTTATACGGGCTGTAGCAAAGTAGCGAACGCAGAAGTAAAGACGGGCAAGTGACAACAGTAACACATCATCGCGCCTGTCGACTATTGCTGCTGCTGCGACACCTCTGGAATGATATCAACACCCAGGCTTTGATTAAACTTGTTGCTACATCATCACTGCACCCGTCAGCGGCGTTGCCCTACTGCAGCCTATGGACATGGGTCGATCGCAGGCTCTTAGTTATGTGTGTGTGTGTTAGTATAAGGCTATAGCCTAGCTTTCCAACAAGTTTGTAAAGTACGGGCCAAGACTGTCGGATCGCCCACGAAGCTACCTCCTGCTCTGCCCTTTGCTCACTATGCAGGGCTCGTTGGGCTCGGCACCTGTCGTGTGGTTCATGGGCTCTGTCGGAACAAAAACCGGTTCGACCCAGCAATCAACGTGGCCGGGCGGACGTCCGTCGGGACCATCGAAGGCGCCACAGAAGGGCTCCGCGCTCGACTCGAAGGCGCCGGGCTCCGCGCTCGAGCCTGGAGGCAAATTGACATCAATTTCACGACTACCGGGATAGAATATTTCGGTGCCTCGTCCGTCTTACGCCTCTTTGAGGGCTGCCCTGCATCTGGCCCGCGAAGAGGCCTGTCCTGGCAAACTCAGCAGTGTCCAAGGTTGAACAAGAATGCGAGCCGTTGTCGAGCCTTGCTGCTTCCAGCACCAGCATTGCCATGGGCCTGCAAAATCAGACAGAGGATTGTTATCGAAATCTCAATCCCGATCGAGGCCTGAATCAACTCCTCCAAGGTCACATCTTTGGATATGGCCTTTCAAAATCAGGCGTCAAACAGATATGGATATGCCGCTTGTACAATAGAAGCCGGTGCCTCCTCGATCGGCATCTCCTTCGGTTTCGCCTTGGGGGCTACCACCTTCGCCGCAGCCTGCCAAGCTCGAGTAGTAGAGTCGTATTATGGAGTCGCTACAACGATGCGAGGCACCTTGGTCTGCTTCGGCTCCTGCTTCTTCTTCGGCTCTTTTGCGGCTGGGGAGACCTCCCAAATTGAAATCTCGAGATTCCCCCTCATGCTCAGCAGGCTTGCTCTTCCCCTGCCAGGTTATTAGCTCTTACTCTTGACGCTGGTAACCCCCGAAGTCTTTCTCTATCTCAGACTTGCCTTGTTCTTCAGCAACTCGTTCAGCTGCATGTTTTCCTCCATCAGTTCGGTGATGCGCACGTCCTTCTCCTTCAATTGCTGGACGTGTGTCCTGATCAGCCCAGCCCTCCTGTCTTCCGCGTTCTCCTTCACCTCTCGCATCATGGTCTCCAGTTGACTGGCGTGCTTGGAGCTCTGCTCTTCGAGCTGTCTCTGCAGCTTCATACGCCCTTCCTCTGCAGTGCACCAAGCAGCCTGCCACGACTGCGACTCCTGCTTGCTGGAGACCATCGGCTGCATAGCCTGCAGCGTCGCCTGGTGCTGGGCGGTCAGGTTGTCGTAGTTCTGCTGCAGCTCCGCGAATCTTGTCTCCAGGGCTTGCCGCTTTGCCACAGCATCGTCCATGTTGAGCTGGCAAAGGTTGAGCTCGGCCTGGCATGTCGCGAGAGCCTCCGTCTTGTCGTTCAGCTTGTCTGCCAAGCGCTCAAACGACCGCCCAGTCTCCCTTCGCTGCTGCGAAGGCCTCTCTGGCCGCGCTCCGCGGCCCTCCGGCCCTCTGGCCTTCGGCTCTGAGGTCTGAACCTTCTCGTTCATCTGGTCCAAAACCTCGCCTGCAGTCAGCCGCCGTGCCGGGACCGTCTCCGGCGGTGGCATAGGTCCCGGGGGCATCTCCGTCTGCTTCTCGGGCAGTGGCACGCGAGGAGGTACCGGAGTCATCTTGGGCCGAACCGGCACCCTGGCCGGAACGACCGAGCCAGCTTTAACTTTGGGAGTCGGAGCTGCAGTCTTGGGAGGGGTCACCGGACTCGTTGCCATGATCCCGAAAACTGCTGCCAGCTAATGATGATAGTAGTGCTACTGCCGCTTTGGCTCGCTTGCGGTCAGCTGTGCTGTTGCTGATGCTGCTGCTGCGGCTGGGCTGTGTGCGGGTCTAGGTCAAAGATGGTGTTCATGGTGCTGGGGTCTGATTTTTTTCGTGCGAAACATCACACTGCCTGGATTCCCGAACACTCGCACGACAGCCCATGTCGCTAGAGCCACACAGTGTTCAAATCGACTGGCATGTGCGACGTCAGAACACGTGTGCTACAGGTGAACAGTTAGCCACGTGTACCCATTGCAGCACAGCCTGTCGAAGCCAAGGCCACGGCACTGCTCGCGGAGTGCAGGCCAGCAGTGAAAGGTCAAGATCGCAGCCTCAGTGCGAGTTGTTGTGGTTTTGAGAAATGTTGTTTGTGTTGGGGGTTTGGGGATTCTTGTTTTCATTCCTACCTAGCAAGGATGAGCAAGCATTGCAGGGTAACTCCAAAGCAACAGTTGAAAGAGCGCATGGGGAATTTTGATGGTCTCTAGGGTTAGTTTACGAGTTTAGGGTTCAGGGATTGTGGTGATGCAGAATTGCCGCATCATTGTGGGAAAGGTGCTGCAGAAGTACCTGCGCTAGGATAGTTCTAAGAACTATCCTAGATACTTTTGATCGTAAAAAGGTGCCGAGGGAGTGTGCCTGCTAATGACTCTAGTGCATGACTCAGACTCTACACGTGACAGTAAAATAGGAAAACTGCTGTCTATCGCAAGTCTTCAGCCATAATACTAAATACTACTTCTGCAGCAACAGTGCTTTTGCAGCACCCTTAATGGTACTTCGGCCAGCACCACGGTAAGGCCCCATTACTTATCTTAGACCAATCCTATAAACCGAAAGCTTAGCCTCAGAAACCTAGCAACTCTTGGCCAGGTGCCACGCCAGATGCTGCAAGCTCCGGCGTACGCCTCAGGCAGTGTCAGATGGCTCATGCTGCAGCACTGTCTCCAAAACCTGTCCTCGCGTCTCGAAAACTTGGAAGGCTTCAAGTCATCCCACTACCCGGCCAGTGTGTTTGCTGAGGAATCGATACTAAATTAAAAGTGTTGTCTCGGGTGGGATTTAGGGTTGAAGTTCTTGGTCCGTGTCTGTAGGTTTTAGGGCTTGTGGTGCTGCCGAAGTACCACTTACTGCGGAAGGTGCTGCACAAGTACCATTTACAAAAAGCTTCAGGGGGATTGTGGTGTTGGCAGAAGTATCAGTAGGTGCTGCACAAGCAAATTCCTGCAGAAGTTGCATTAAAGCTGAAGAGTTGTGAGATAGCGGTTCTTGCCTATTGTCAGATGTAGAGTCTGAGAGGGTTGATTGAAATTTCACTAGTAAATGCCCCCAGCCAAAGATCATGAACCCCCTTGTTGACTTGAGCGTCGACCGCCTGAATCATTTCATTTGGTGCGCTACATTCATTACAGACAGACTCTTGCGGAACCACATGGAACCACCTTCCGATCCAAAGTCGAACATCCTTGTGCAGGTACTGTTGCAGCACCTTTCCAATAATGATGTGGTATTTCTGCATCACCACAATTCCTGAACCCTGAATGCCTGAACGACCCTAGACTCTCCTAATTCCGAACATCAACAACCTGTTCATCAAACCAATACAACTTGCACTGAGGTTGCGATCCTGCTGTAAGATTGACGAGGACCCGGCGAGTGTCCGGCCCCCAAATTTCTCGCCTGCAATTCATCGAGGTGAAAATCAAGGCACACTGGTGTAAGCAAGACGGGCTACTTATTGCAATAAGTTGCTGAACATAGCTTTGAGTAGCTGACAGACGACAGCCTGGCCGCATGTTTCTACAAGATTGTTTGTTGCAGCTACTGATTGTTAAAGCTCCGTGGCAGGCTACTTAATGCCTAAGCAATAAGTAGTGGCGTTCCCATCATGTTTCTGCCCTGGTCCTCCCATGCATGGAGATTCGTGCCCGTGGCTCTCGCACTCGGCCTTTGGATTGCACAAGACACTGGCTTCAAGAGATACTGATACTTAATGGTTGTGAGGCAAGCCGTTGTCACGGAAGGTAGGCCCGACCGATAGGCTAGGCCAGAGATGAATGAAGAGGCTAATAGATATGGATCAATCACTGCCAAGGTAAACAGCACAGTAGCCTTGGTGCAAAACAAAGACTCCTGCAGAACTAGCTAGAAGCCCCTTGATAGTTTCAGTTTCTCACGATGATGTTTCCACTGGGTCGCGCAGCACAGCGCACCGACAAGAGACCTTTGCTTGCCGAACTCCCTGATTATGCCGTGGCTCACAACTTTGGCTTGGAGCAGCAATCCGCTGGGTCGCGTGACGACCACCAAGCATTGGACGCTGGCATCCGCGCTAATGGGCTCATGATCCGGGAGACGATCGCGGATGGTGATTGCGGGTTGCACGCCATTCTTCTTAACCTTCAGCGGTTACGGATTCAGACGGAGCCTGCAGCTGGCATCTTGTCCCTTCTTGAAAAGAAGGGTTTGGACTCTGCGTGCCAGGCACTGCGCCTCAACCTAGTTATCTGGCTGAGGGATCATCAGGCGGAGGAGCTGATGCCGGATACCAGTCTTTCTGACTGGGTGCAGATGGACGGCTACAGCAGTTTCAGTGCTTATATGAAGCATATGAAAGTGGCCAAAACTTGGATTGATAGTCCGATGCTTTATGCAGCATCTGCTGTGTTTCTGCTTCAATTCGTCATCTTCCTGGACGACGGTCGGGGTCATTTGCTGGCCGCCCAGGTGGTTCAGCAGCAAGAATCGGGCCATGTAGCATTGATGACTAACATCGGGAGATGTCACTTTCAGGCATTGCAGCCGCTTCCTCCCGAGAATTTCTCTCTATGTTCAAGCACTGCAGACGATTTACGGCTGTACGTGCCGGAGACACAAGATGATGCTGAGTCTGCTGAGGACTCTGCATCGGATGCGACGGATGGAGAAGCCACCCCTGTGCCTGAACAGAACAGTCATGCTGAAAAGACAATTCGAATGTGCCAGGCACTTATAAACTGGGACCCTTTTGCTTCTACCTGTGATCCCCAGCTTCCTGACCTTCTGAAGTCGCTGGAGAATACCGATGAGCCATCGGAAGCATTGTCGCAAACATTGCAATGGAGGGCCGCAGTCAAACTTCTGCAGCATGAGGAGTTCGACAGAGCAGAAGTTGATCGATCCTTCCATCTGGAACTGGCAAGGATCAATGTCCTTAAAAGGACAACCCCGGCTGGACAAAAGATGTTATACGTGAAATCCCGGACTTTGGGGCCCAAGCTGACACTGCCAGCCATCAAGAAAAGCCTGGTGCCTCCTTGCCACAAGAACAACACATGCCATACCTGTCTAGACCCCTTCCGGAGTTGCCCGAAACTGGTCTTGCGTTGGCGAAAGATGTGGTACAGCCTGCCGAAAGCGGACAGACAGGAACGTCTCGAGCGGTTTTTTGCAACAGCGAAGCAGCAGCAGGAAGCGGAAGGACAAGATGAATTCCGAATGCCTTTCAGTGTTTTCGGACAGAGCGTCTGCAGGGATGCGTTCATACGCATCACAGGTATCCATGCACACACGCTTCAGAGAGCTCGATCGGCTGCTGTGGCTGGTGTTTCGCACCAGTCCGAGATCGCTGCGTGGCGATCGCGCAGGGCACCGGCCTACCTCGATTGCAGAGCCTGGCTTCTCGATTATGCCCGTATCCACGCTGACACCAGTCCACTGAACTCCAATCTTTGGTTGCCCTATGCCCGCAAGCACTTCTTCTACTGGACATACGTCAGCGACTGCACCTTGGCATTCATGGGATAAGGCAATAGCACGATTAATGTGGCAGTTGCACCTGTGCATGCAGAGCCCGTCATCATGATATTGTGTATGGTCCGGGATGGAATAGAACATGTTCTCTGATCTTAGCTTCAAAGTTTCGTGCGACCTTGCCATGCGTCGGTCTAGGCTTTTTGGTGTCATTGCTTCTTTTTCGGCTTTGCTAGTTGTTTGCGCGAGATTCACCCTAGCACAGGATAGAAGAGAAATCGTACCGAAACCAGCACCACAATAGTCAGTCGTAGCGGCCCCGACCGCCACCGCAACAACAACCACCAGAAAACGACGCACAGCATCTCAGGCAGACACCAGCAGAAACCATTGGAGGAAGTGGCGGGCTTGAAGTACTTCCTCAAGGTTTGGAGGACGGAGCTCCCGTGGATAAAGCGCCGACCTACAGCTGGCCCCTTCACCCACTGCGGTCTGTGCGATTATCTGAAGTGGACGATGGCCCGCTGCTCGGACAGAGGCGGCCGCGAGAAGCTGGCGGGCCTGCTTGGGGAGCACTTCAAGTTCCAGGCCGCGCAGCGTGTCGCGATGTCGCAGCTGTTCAAGGAGAGTGAGGCGCGCCCTGATGAACTGATTGCAGTGGCATGGGACAAGATGGACCAGGCGAAGACCATCGTGCCACGTGTTGTGTCATTGGCCAACACACAGTTCATGAAAGGCGGTGCTCGCCTGGTGGTTTCCTTGATTGGCGTTCTCGCACCCTGTCTCTTCAAGCAACCCCTGCTGTACACCATTCTGGAAGATCAGGTGCACGGCGGCGACATGGTGGCTAGTTTGATGCTAGATGTTCTCGAGGAAGCTGTGGGCATCAAGGGGCAGCTGCCAACGAGGTTCTTCATTCAAGCCGACAACACTGTCAAGGAGACGAAGAACACGATTGCATTGTTTGCAGCGGCGTGGCTACTGATACAGCTCAAAGGCACGAGGCTGACCTGCATTGAATTTGGCTACTTAGTTGTGGGTCACACCCACGACTTGATAGATGCCATGTTCGCATACATCTCGAAGGCTCTGGCTGGACGCGACTTCTACAGCGTTGATGAGATGATAGGCATTCTGCAAAACAGCATGAAGAATCCGCCTTTCTGGAAACACTTGCGCGACATTTACAGCTTCAAAGCTGCTCAGCCTCACAGCCTTAGCAGCAAGAGGGTGAAGGGCATCTCGCAGCCCAATAATGTGCGCATCTTTTGGGGTCCTGATGGCAATCTGCTTGTCCAGTCCAAACATTGGCTGACTTCCGAATCTTGGGGCGAAGCGTTGGTCCTGTTGGATCAGACAGAGGTCACTCGAGTGGGCCACCTGTATCCCGACATTGTGGAGCCTGCATGGGACGAATCTTTCTTGAGAACTTCAGAAGGTTTCTTTCAGAAGTTGGAAGACTTGTTTCTTGGCGTGAGATCGGAAAAGTTGTCGGTTGGTATTGTTAGCTTTTGTGCTTGCATTCAATCTTTTGCAGCAGGGCCAGGTTTGTTCAGTATCACTGTTTGGCCCTCCCTCCGAAAGCCAAGGTTGTCTGCAGCTTCGTTTTCGACGGATGGTATCCAGAAGTGCCGAGCCTTGTTGAGACACGAGAACCCGTCCTTCATGCCGTCAGGGCGAACACTTGGAGACCGCGTGATCGCATTGCGAAGACGCATAGACTCCAATCCGGCACGGCCAGCAGCGAGTGGCTTCTCAGAAGGCCTTCGAAAAGCAATGGCAGCTGCGTTTCCTGGATCTTCAGCAAGTGTCCGCGACGGGAAGACTGGACTACTCACAATTGCCGGGGCAGAGAGCTCGGACCAGATGGGTTTTTGCCAAGACGAGCTGGAAACAGGCATGATCGTGCTCTTCTCATGCACGAGGCACGCAGACTTGCCGTGTCGCGTCGGCAAAGTGCTCCGAATTCTGCGCGAGTTCGGTTCTGACCCCACGGCTGTTGTGGAGACTTGGCATCCTGTAGTTAATCCAAGCAAATATGATCGCGTCCATGTTTTTGCTGCATGGGCCCCAGCTGGCCGTGATGGAGCTGCCGAGGGCTCGAAACGCAAACGAAGCAGGCCAGAGCTACCCTTGCGCACAATTCCCCTGGGAGATGTTCTTGTTTGGCCGCTGGATTTGGAAAAGAAGGAAGATCAGGAGCAATCGGACCAGAGCGGCAAGGTGCCCTTGCCGGCTTTTCATTTCATGCGCGAGGTGCGCATGGTAGATGTGAGCCCAAAGCGCTTTAGTTTCAGCAAGAGAGGGCAGGCCTTCTACCGAGAGGTCGTGAAGCGCACTGCGGAGTACATGCGTGCCGGGGAATAAATTGCTTGATGCAATGTCAGATTTGGTTTTATCAGTGCGTGCAGATGAAACTACATAACAGTAATGATCTGATCTCCCCTTTGCTCCTTGCTTCAGGGTTCCCGGCCTGGACAATCGTGTATAGGAGCAGCCCAAGAGACCTGCCGCTGAGCAAGTGGTGTTTCTTCAGTTTCGCAACGGCTGCTTGTGGTGAGGTTGCCTTTCTTGTTCCTGTGGGTTTATGGGGTCAGAGATTTGAGGTTAGCCACTTGATCAGCGGTTCCTGTGGGTTTATGGGGTCAGAGATTTGAGGTTAGCCACTTGATCAGCGGTTCCTGTGGGTTTATGGGGTCAGAGGTTATTCATACTTTGAGGTTAGCCACATGATCAGCGGCATAATCATGTCTTCAGGTAGACTGCCCCCGTGAGTCTCGCAAAGACCGTTGGCCAAAGAAATTCGGGCCCCAAACCCTAACCTCGAAGTCTGACCAGGGCCCCTATTTGTGGAACAAATCGCCGTTTGACTTCTGGTTCGTGATGAGTTCAAGCCTGGAAGCATGCTGCCCGATGCTCAGGCACTGGCGCAGACATCATCTTGCAGGCCTGGTCAGGAGGGCACTGTTCGTCCGAATCACTAGTCTTATAGAAGAATGTGACAGAGGCTCTCAGCTGCTGACGGCTTTTTCGGTTTCACGGTATGTGCGCGTGCATTAGCGGCGTTAGCTGTATCACTGGCTTCCGGTCTCTGAGAGAGCTAAGTCCGTCGTGAAGAAGCACATGTTCATTTAGACATTCAACACGGCGTTTGCCCACGTCGAGGCTTGGGAGTGGCTCACGACCTTACCCTTGGCAGTTGAGATACCTTTCTGGAATAGCTTCTCGCAGATCTTCGCCAGGTCACCTTTCTTGATCGCCTTGTCTTTCAAGACACTGCGGATGACTCCTTTAATGACTTTGCCTTCTTTGCCTTCCAATCGATTCGGCTTGCCACCCAGCTTGGGAGAGCCCTGCATAGTGACCTTCATGGACTTCTGCAGATTGATGTCTCGTCCCTTCTTCAAGCGAGTGACAGTCTCACTTCTGTGAAACTCCGAAATCGATCCAATAAGCTGCCGGACCAGTGTTGTGTGAGGAGAGTCGTCTTCTAAGAAATGATCAGGGTTGGATGCAGAGATAGCAGAGAAACCCATGTCTCGCAGCAGGCTCAGTGCCAATTCCTGCACCACCACACACCGTGCCAGTCTAGAGGCATCTTCGAAAATAATTTTGTTGATGTTATGCTCCTTGGCATAATCCAACATCTTTACGAACCCCGGCCTTTTCTGCACAGGCGTCGTGCCCGAGACGCCGATATCCTCGAAAAGGCCAGCTCGATTCAGTCGAAGTGCGCTCCTTTTCGTGTACGCTCTGATGACCGATTCCTGCCTCTGTAGACTAGTTTTCCCGTCCCCTGAGTTCGCCCTGGATGACACGCGCAAGTACCCGACAGCTTTCATGGCTTCACAACAGCCCCAGCTTCCTAAATATTAGTCCATGCTAATGTATTCAAGGCAATCGCTTGCTTGAAGCACGCTAATTTCCTGTAACAAGTGAAGTCTCCTGAAGACCGCACCACTCAAAATTAATGAGGCGCAGATAAACTCTTTAGGAAGATGTCAAGGCTGAGCCAGATTCGCAGAATGCTGGGATTGTAGTGCTCACACTATGAACGCGATACCCTCAGCCGCAACCTAAATTACAATGTCCAAAGCCTTTGCGAACATGTACATGAATTGACTGCAGGAGCACAGCCGTGGTGGGAACTCAGGGCGTAAAATACTTTAGTAGGTGTGATCGGGACGTATGAATGCCACGGTCAGCCCCATCACACCCCACACCCCCAAGCACGGGAACGGAAACACGAATGGTGACCATGATGATGCGTGCGTAGACTGCACGTGCGTGCTTGACACTGTGCAAGGCTACCATGCACCACAGCCTGCGCCAGAGGCAGGGACACCTCACCGCTTCAGAGAGCCCGATCGGCTGCTGTGGCTGGTGTTTCGCACCAGTCCGAGATCGCTGCGTGGCGATCGCGCAGGGCATCGATTGCAGAGCCTGGCTTGTCGATTATGCCCGTATCCACGCTGACACCAGTCCACTGAACTCCAATCTTTAGGCCCGCAAGCACTTCTTCTACTGGAAATACGTCAGCGACTGCACCTTGGCATTCATGGGATAAGGCAATAGCACGATTAATGTGGCAGTTGCACCTGTGCATGCAGAGCCCGTCATCATGATATTGTGTATGGTCCGGGATGGAATAGAACATGTTCTCTGATCTTAGCTTCAAAGTTTCGTGCGACCTTGCCATGCGTCGGTCTAGGCTTTTGGCTTTTGGTGTCGTTGCTACTTTTTCTGTTGGTTTTCCACTCTTTCTAAATATCCATTGTCGTCCATCTTGTTTTTGCTGCTCCTCGTGCACTTCTTGTTGTCGCAGTCGTTGAAGCTGTCTTTAAGCCGTATAGTCTATAGTTAAAAACCCCAGTCCTTAAACTAATAGTAGCTGCAACATGAACCCATCAGGGTGTAGGAATAAGGGTTTGAAATTTGTGCTGTAAAAGTACCACCTATAGACTGACAGGGCATGGACTCCCACTGGTAGCGTCGGACAGAAAGCGCGGACGTCCGAATGGTTGCGTCGGACAGAAAGCGCGGACGTCCGAATGGTTGCGTCGGACACAATGCGGACGTCCGAATGGTTGCGTCGGACACAAAGCGCGGACGTCCGAATGGTTGCGTCGGACACAAAGCGCGGACGTCCGAATGGTTGCGTCGGACACAAAGCGCGGACGTCCGAATGGTTGCGTCGGACACAAAGCGCGGACGTCCGAATGGTTGCGTCGGACACAAAGCGCGGACGTCGAGCGTCGCACGTGGGACGCCCCAATGGTTTGGGACCTTCCAGGGAACTGGACCCCGCAAGCTGCAGGGTCCAACTCCCTGGCGTCCCGTGCGCAACGCCGGGGAGTTAAAGTCCGACCGGAGTTCATCTCCCTGGAAGCGGGCTGGTCCTTCCCGGGAGATGATCTCCGGTCGGACTTCATCTCCCTGGCGTTGCACGCGCGACGCCCGGGAGTCCGACCCCGCAGCTTGCAGGGTCCGGTTCCCTGGAGGGTCCCTCGACCTTCCAGGGAACCAAGATTGCAAATGGACCTGCCCACCGCCCACCTCATCATCCTGTGTCGGTCGCAGCGTGTGCATTCCCAAGGGTATAGCGTCGGACACAAAGCGCGGACGTCCGAATGGTCGCGTCGGACACAAAGCGCGGACGTCGGAATGGTCACGTCGGACACAAAGCGCGGACGTCGGAATGGTCGCGTCGGACACAAAGCGCGGACGTCGGAATGGTCACGTCGGACACAAAGCGCGGACGTCGGAATGGTCGCGTCGGACACAAAGCGCGGACGTCGGAATGGTCGCGTCGGACACAAAGCGCGGACGTCCGAATGGTCGCGTCGGACACAATGCGCGGACGTCGGAATGGTCGCGTCGGACACCAAGTGCGGACGTCCGAATGGTCGCGTCGGACAGAAAGCGCGGAAAAGCGCGGACGCCCCAGTGTAATTTCTCGCACCGTCCTCCAGCATCGATGCTAGTACAATGGTCCCGGTCCCCATGCCAATCTTGCCAGCCAACACCGACTGACGTACCTCACTAGCTACAGGAAGGTAGGCGTCTATACTTGGTGCCTTATGCCGTAGTTTAAAACCCCGGTCCTCAAGCAATAATCTGCAAGCCTGAACCCAATAGGGCTTATAGGACTTGTAAAGATAATGGTCACATTGGTGCTGCACAAGTACCACTTTATACGGTGCTGGCAAAGTAGTACCTAGATTAAGGCGGACCCCGAGTGCTAAAATTTGACTGCTGCAAAACTACCGACCAAGTACCTATGCTATGACGGACTCCAAGCGCTAAAGCTAAAATTTAACTGCTGCAAAAGTACCACTTAAGGTGCCGACAAAGTACCCTTGCTAAGACGGGCCCCAGCGCTAAAGTTTCAGTGCTGCAAAAGCGCCCCCCTCCTGTCCAGGAATCGGCTTTAGATATGATACCCTTAATGTGGCCAAACCTGCATATCCTGAGACCGATCTGCTGCCTCATGTGCGGAGGTCTGGTCTCCGGCTACCTTGGTGGCGGCTCTGGCCAGTTTTGGAGAGACTTAATGCGAGAGTGCAGGAATGCCGCTGTTTAAGTGGACTACACGTGCCAGTCTCCAACACTTGCTTGTATGCTGTCGCTGTTTCGATGCCTGCGCGTATGCTGTAATAGCATGAAGCGGTTGATCGTCTTTCGAAAGCTGCGATCTGGTTGATCGACTAGTAACTACATTCTCAGATCGGATTCATCAGTGTCAGTTCGGATTCTAGGGCTGTTCTATTGGTTTGAAGCACATAGTGATCACAATGGCAGCAGAAGACTTGGCACCAGCATTGGCCCGCCAAACGCCAGCGTGGGCAACCGAACTGCTGCAGTTGGCTAAGACCTCCTTCGTCAAGAACGATCCCAAAAATTGGGAGGAATGCAAGGTAGACGGTGACTTCACGAAGGAGGTCCCCCTGTGGGTCCTCGACTTTGAGGCCATGCCGATTCCGAGCGTCTTTCCTTTGTTGACGGCGGTGAAGCACGCTAAGGACCAATGGTTCGGAGACAGATCGGATCAAAGCTTCTCCTTCCCTCCGCCGGGGATGGTCCTGGAGGTCGCCAAATACAGAAAGCAGCTGACAGATTCGGATTGCGGGAAACTTCAACGTGCAAATCTGGACATTGTATTTTTCGCGTGGTTGCTGAAGTTCAAGGAGGTGTCGGAAGCAAAAGAAAGCAAGTACGTGGCCATGTTCAGGAAGGCTGCGCTGCGCGTCCTGATGACCGTGCGGTATGTCGAGAATGAGGCTACGAAACTTGCGCGTGCATATCAGCTACGCGAGGATGAGGAAAAGAATGCCACCATTGCCGGCCACTCTTTGCTTTCAAGGGCTCGGGAACTGAATTCCATTCAGGAGTGTTCAGTCTAAAGAAGTTGCCGTGTTACAGTCACTATGTTTGCTGTGCAGTCTTCGAGAATCTAAGCATTCGCGAGGAGCATCTGCTGAAGAATGCTTCAAGCGGAGCTGCCACAAACCTGGTGGACTACATGGCCCAGCACAAGATTGTGTATGGCACTTCCGATTCGACGCTTTCGGTTGGCACCATCCGGCTTCATCTCCGAGTGCTCCGTCGCCTTTCCCTGGCAATGGTGGACAGCGGCACACCGGCCTACGAAGGCAGTGCCTTGTATTGGTTTGACAGGAACGAGGAACTTTGGGGAAGGAAGGGCATCCAAGTGACTTTGCAAGAAAATGCAAGAAATTTCGATGCTTTTCAAGCAGCTCTCCCCAACTTGGATGACCTGCGAGATGCATCCATGAATTTGCACATCTTGCTTCTTCGTGGCAACAACATCAAGCTGAGCGGCAGGGGCATTGGAGATCTGGCCCGAGCTCTGGTACTCTATTCCAGGGTTCCAACAGCCCTCCTGCCACGCTTCGAGAAGTATGCTGAGTTGCTCAAGCCCTTCGCCTCCCTTCGCGAGTTCCATCGGGAATTTCCGGTTGGAATGGAGGAAGGGCTGCCCAAACCTAAGTTTTAAACTGATTTCCATTTTGCAAGCTTTAGATCCGGACGCAGGAGAACGGCTCGCCAGCTGTGAGGGACATCACCTACCCGATGTTTGCCCAGGAATCAGCGGACAAACTGACCACTCAAGTCCTTATTCCTCTCTTCAACTACAAAAAGCACGGCGCCTTGATGGGAGGTGGCTCTGCCCTCGGCGTGGTGTTTGTAAAACAGTTGCTGCCGGAACTCGAAGCAATGTACGCGCAAGAGCAAGCTCGGCAGTCGATGGCGCAGGGCATCTCCTCTGTGTCCGCGGTTCCCCCGGCAGATTCCCAGTCGGAGGAGCCGGTGTCTGAGGAAGAGGTTGGCGGAATTTGGGGTTAAATCAGTGGGCCCGTCATGTCAGCTCTATAGAGTGTTTTGTCTTTGGCAGGCTGCTGCCTTAAAAAAGGCTTTCGACGAGAAGCAGATGGAACTCCTGAATTCCATGGCACAGGAGTTCCTGAACAGCAACGTCCTGCTGTTGAGCTGGACCAATCCTTCGCTCATGGATGCTTTGTGTGGGCATCCCCTCACAAAAGATGGAGCCTCCAAGCTGTTCTGCTGGCAGGCAGGTCTGGACGCGACCACGGGCCCCACTGGCCGCACCTCGATCTTTCGAATGAAGGCGGCCGCGGACGAGACCCGCATGGATTCTTCGATAGACATGATGGCGAAGCTCATGCGGGATTTGGACAGTGGGCTCTTCTTCAGTGGGCGGAACACCCTGATCGCCAAGGACCTGAAAAAGAAGCTTCAGGCCTTGAAACCCAAGGTTGGGCTGAAGGAGATGCAGATCAGTCCGGACGAAGAGGTCCTG